GTTTAAGCAGAACAAAAGAGCATGAACGAATAGACTATAGAGTATCAAAAGATATATGTGATCTCATTGGATTCGCTGTTAACATTAGTTTCTTTATACTCAGGATAAGAGTTCCGTGGCCTTTCCAGTGGGGTGCCCCATCGTTTGATGCTGGAGAAGCTTTTGCAATGATGATGGCTTCTTTTGTTGCTCTAGTTGAGGTCTGTGATTAACTTCTTCACGTTTTAATGTTTCGAAATATAAAGATTATGCTCTGTTATTCTGTTTATTCATTTTTCTTTTGTCTGGCTGATCTTCAAAGTCAACCGGAGCTTTTGTCGCTGTCTCGAGATACGCAAGTGCAACGATGTTGCCACCTTCTATCCTCAGCCGGGGTATAGGCTGGCAGGTAACTCAGTTACACTTGAAGTTATAATATTGCTGAATACTTGATAGAATTCTGAAGTGATTATGTTTTGTTTTGTGGATCAGGGAGTTGCGATTCTGATATCAGGGTTGTTTGGTACTGGAGCTGGTTCCTCTGTCTCTGTGTAAGCATCTCAGAGATGATTAATGATCTGTTTTAATTATTTTCTCTAGAAATTTTGGTATGAAAGTTGGTTTTTCTCGCTCTTTTCTGCAGAGAAAATGCGGGATTATTGGCCTTGACACGAGTTGGTAGTCGAAGGGTTGTCCAGATAGCTGCAGGCTTCATGATATTCTTCTCCATTCTCGGTTAGTTTTTGTTCTAATCTGTTTTTAACAAATAAAAGCGTATGTTTGAACTTTTATCTGTACTGATGATCCATTATGTTAATGCAGGAAAATTCGGAGCTGTGTTTGCTTCAATTCCTGCACCCATCATTGCTGCTTTATACTGTCTCTTCTTCGCGTATGTGGGAGCTGGAGGTTTGAGTTTCCTTCAGTTCTGCAACTTAAACAGCTTCAGGACCAAGTTCATCTTAGGTTTCTCTGTCTTCCTGGGCTTGTCCATCCCTCAATACTTCAATGAGTACACCGCAATCAAAGGATATGGTCCGGTCCACACTGGAGCTCGTTGGGTATGTAGTAACCAACTTACTGTTATTTTTTTCTTCTCTTTCCATTCAAATAGGTTTTTGGTAGAATGATCTATTAAGGCCTAAAACTCCACCCATCTTTTGAGCCAATAGCAAAGATTCGACTTTAGCATGGCCTGAACTAATGAAACCATTTTCTCTTACATATTTGACAGTTCAATGATATGGTGAATGTCCCGTTCTCCTCAGAGCCTTTTGTTGCTGGCAGCGTCGCTTTCTTCTTGGACAACACATTGCACAAGAAAGACTCTTCGATAAGGAAAGACCGAGGGAAGCATTGGTGGGACAAGTTTAGATCTTTCAAAGGTGACACAAGAAGTGAAGAATTCTACTCTCTTCCTTTCAATCTCAACAAGTATTTCCCATCTGTCTAAAAGGGAAAAGAAGAGCAAAGAGATAACCGGAAACAAAAATGGTGAAAAACTCAGAGTTTTGCCTCTGTGTCGTGGTTCTTTTGTTCAGTTCCTTCATAACTTTGGAAACTTAAAATATCTCTCACATTCTATAGTCTTATTTACAAGAATGATGAATCTTCTTCAGAGCATTGTTGTTTACTCTCTCTCTAATGCTTTTGTCTTTGTAAATCCGAGGGAACACTACTTTGTGATTTTGATTAGTTTCTAAACAAATCTTTAGCTTAATTTTGCTCTTTTATCTGTTTTTCGCTCTTAAGTCTTGATTCTAAAGTTCTATAACCAACTGAAATTAAGAACTGGTTTTTATTTTATTTTTAACTCACAAAAGAATTGAATTTAGGTTCACTAATTGCTTATTATATTATTTTTAAAACAATTTTTTTTTTTTATCATCTACTACGAAAAAAAAACGGAAAATGGTCACATATAAACAGTACTGCATATAAAATAGAGCGACCTTTCACTCTTGCGTGAGGTTTTTGTTCTCTGATCAATAAAATATAGAGAGACATTAATAAGGCAACTTTTGTATGTTATCATCTTAATTAATGGACAAGCAAAAAGTTAAGATTACTTTGTTTTGTAAGGCTGATCGATTTAATTACGTAATTAACTAAGTTCGTTGAATAATTAACGATTAATACGACACAGGCTTTCAGGAGATCGAGATAAAGTGTACAGTAAGCATGTGAATAAGGTTGATTGCACGAGGGGAATATTATTACTTCATTTTTGGTTGTCATTTTCCTTATTTTAATTTCCTCAAAAAGCTCATCATTGCTTATAAAAAATATAATTTATAAAGTTACTTTATTTAGTTGACAAAAACAAATTTGTTTATTTATTCTTCTGCAACTATTGATCTTTTTGTAATAAGTTGTTAAATTTTAACTTATTTAAGTTTTGGATTTAATTATCTTTTATTAAACGCAATTTCTACGTGAATATTATACACCATATCTAAATTCAATTGGTGTTTATTAAAAACTGAATTTGTATAATCAAATAAAAAACTTAACTTATATGGTCTTGTTTAAAAGAATACTCTGGTTATAAATTATAAACATCCGACACATTTTATAATTTGTTATTACAATGTTAGTTGCAGTAATTATTTATAAACAATACTATGATAAGTAAACAAATTAAAATTCGATGGAAGTATTATCTAAAATTGTGGTCCAATAGTATATGTGGATACTTTAACTTTTAGGAGACTAGAGACTATTGTCTTTCACTTTCCTAGAGATTTATAGGTGTACATAAATATTGATTTATACATGTATTTAGTTCTGTGTATATCTAAAAAAGATACTAGTGAGTAGTGATTAATTTCTATTGTTATGATTTACCTGTGAATTAGTAATTAATTTCTGGAAGGTTGAACCTAAGCTAAATGATAGCATATAGAAGAATTTAAATGGTTAATAATAGATTCGTAGTATCAAAGGCTTGACGATTTAATTAAAAATTTGCTTGGAATCTACTTTTCGTGAAAGATTCCAGCCAAGCATACACTTGGGGCTCTGTACGGACACTCCAAAACATAATAATCATTTAAGCAATTACGATCATTATTCTATCTCTTCTAGTATTAATAATAGGGTTACTCTTCTTTCTTTTGTTTGTTTAATGTTAAGCATTTATCGAATATTGGAGTTACATATATACAACCTCTTTCATACCATTAGAAACGAAAAATAATTGATGATGACAAAATGAAAACTTATTGTATAGAAATAAAATGATGAGTATATAAATAAGTAGAGAAGCTATTAAATCAGTATAGACCCCTCACCTACGCTTAACTCTTTGACTCCTCTCTCTCCTGCTTTGCTCCGCCGTGAGAGAGAAACAAATGGGGAATTGTCAAGCGGCGGAGGCGGCAACGACGGTGATACAACAACCAGACGGTAAATCGGTTAGATTTTACTGTACAGTAAACGCGAGTGAAGTGATAAAGTCTCATCCCGGTCACCACGTGGCTCTCCTCCTCTCCTCCGCCGTACCTCACGGTGGCTCTCTCCGCGTCACTCGTATAAAGCTTCTCCGTCCTTCTGATAACCTCTTGCTCGGCCATGTCTATAGACTCATCTCCTCAGAAGGTATTTATAATATTAATCACACGGAACATGTTTCAACTTTGAAGTCAAGAAAGAACAGAACCCTAATTTTTAGGGCTTTCTTCAATTTGTTTCTTCTGCTTCACGTTTGGTTACAATCATCATAGATGTAGTGTATAAAATTTACAAATCAGGATTAAAAGCCACAGTTTTAGGGTTCTCAACAGTTTTTCTGCTTCACTTTTTGATTATTAATTAGGTTTCTTTGCTCTATTAATAGAGGTGATGAAAGGAATAAGAGCCAAGAAATCTGGAAAGATGAAGAAGATTCATGGAGAGTTTTCTGTTGCAGAAGAAGAGATTAACTCACTAACCCTAAGATCTGAAGCTGCTTCTGACAAAGACACTCAGGTATTATTATTACATACTACAAGTGCTCTGTATCAGATTGCAGTTTTAGTTCTCAGATTAAGACAATAGAGTGTTAGAAAGACTTAACAAAGGTAGAGGTTTTTGATTAACAGAGAAGGATACATGAAAAGCAGAGAGGGATGGTGAACACAGGAGGAGCTACCAATAAAGTTAGAGCTTGGCAGCCTTCTCTTCAAAGCATCTCAGAATCTACAAGCTAAAACACTTCGATCGTTCTTTTTTTTTTTTGATCATTTGATTTCTCTTTGTATTGTTGTTTTTCCCAATCAAAATTGTAAAGGAAGAAAACCCATTTGATTGTGGTTGAAGAAGAAGAAACTTTTGTCATTTTGTAACTTAATAATAACTGAAGAAGATCCAAAGGATTTTCTTTCATGTTTTCAAGAAATAGTTATGTCATTGATCAAGTTTACAACTTTTGACGTTATTGATAAAATTGTACTTGTTGACCAAAGACACATTTCCTTCATTTACTAATAAAACTAGCTTTCCAATGTTTAGTGGTCTATTCAAATCTATTTTTTTGTTGTAGTATGTTTTTATTATTCATGTACCTTATCAATCATCACAAACATGCCATAAAATCCGAAGAAGAAAATGAAAAACTGTTGTAATTAACAACAATACACTTATACACACCTAACAAAAAAAACCAACCAAACCGTAATATTTTCTTTTTGGGTTACAAGAAAAGTTGTTCATCACACATAAACATACCTTTGTATGAAGAAAAAAGGTAAAAGTATATATTTTTCCATATTAAGCCTCTTAATTACGACGTCGTTTACCTTACACGTGCACACTCACCGACTTACAGAAGAACCCACACGTACGTTGAGGGTAATTAAGTCATTTTAGCATCGAACGGAATTGTCTGAGCGGAGAAGAGGAGTTTCCGTTATCCCTTCATATATTATCTCTCTCTCACTTTCTTTGATTTTTATTAAATTATCAAAAAGAAAATAAAAATAAAAATAAAATAAAAATCTTCACGTTTCTTCTTTCTCTCTCGAGTCTCAAGCCACCAAATCTGAATTAGGGTTTTTGAGAATCTTCATCTTTTGATTTCAATTATTATTCACCCACTGTGTAATTCACTCGTCAGGATTCATCTGTGAAATCATGGTTACAGATTCGATCACCAACGCTTCTGCTACTTCAGCTCCGAGAGATTCCGGGAAGAAGAAGAGGGTAACGTTTATCTCTTCCTTTTTTTCCTTAATAAATCTCATACCTTTCTCTCAAATTGATTAAAAGTTTTGATTTTTATGGTTTTGTTATTGCATTGCGTTTTGCAGAACAATAAGTCGGCTAAGATGAAGCAGAACAAGCTTGGTCTCCGTCGTGAGCAATGGCTTTCTCAAGGTAAAAACTTCATCTCTTTCCTTTAATGTTTCAATTGTGTGTTTTTTTTGCCTGATTCGTTAGGTTAGATTTGGTCTATGTATTGATTAAGGGTGTTGATTTTTACTATTAGTTGCGGTGAGCAATAAGGAAGGTAAAGAGGAGAAGAGTGTTAATCGAAGTGAAAAGTCTGATCAGAGAGATAACCAACCAGTGGTGTGTAGAGAAGAGGGTAATAACGGTGGGAATAATCTTCATCATGAGAGTTTTATGGAGTCGCCTTCGAATAGCTCTGTTGGTGGTACAGATTCAAGCACTAATTTCAGTGGGAGAAGTAGCAGGAGTAGTAGTAGCAGCAGTGGCTTTTGCTCTGGTAATGTAACAGAAGAGGAAAATGTAGATGATGATGATGATGATGATGATGGGTGTGTGGATGATTGGGAAGCTGTTGCTGATGCGTTAGCGGCTGAGGAAGAGATTGAGAAAGAGAGTCGTCTCCATGAATCTGTCAAAGAGCAAGAGGGTGTTGGACAATCAGCTTCTAATGTGTGTGATTCGATAAGGGATGCATCAGATGTTGTGTGTGTTAAAGATCCAGAGCAGGATTGCTTGAGAGTGGCTTCAAGGAAGCAAGAGAGTAATAGAGCTTGGAGGCCAGATGATGACCTTCGCCCACAGGGGTTACCTAATTTGGCGAAGCAGCTTAGTTTTCCTGAGTTAGACAAGCGTTTTAGCTCTGTGGCGATTCCGTCTTCATGTCCCATATGCTACGAAGACTTGGACTTGACGGATTCAAATTTTCTGCCTTGTCCTTGCGGATTCCGGCTCTGTCTGTTCTGCCACAAGACAATTTGCGATGGAGATGGGCGTTGTCCAGGGTGCAGGAAACCTTATGAACGGAACGCGATCAAGGCTGAGACTAGTATTCAAGGTGGTGGTCTAACAATTCGGTTGGCTCGTTCTTCTAGCATGTTTTGCAAGTTTTAAAAGGAGAGTTGCGGTTTTCGCAAACCATGTTGTCTTTTGGAACTCAGAGAACTTGAGCTTTGTTTTCTATGTCATCGATGGTTCTAAGTCTGAAACACTATGGTGATGATGTAGAGTGTGATGTGTGAATACATAAAAGGTGGTACAGAAAATTCAAATACATTTAGATAGTTTCAATAATGATGCTATGTTCTCTTTTCGAATTCCATATCTATAGTATTTTAAGGTGTTTGGTCTGTGTTTGTTCCTTGTCAAACATTATTGAAGGTTTAAGAGTTATTTTGTTGCTATGGTGAATCTTCTTGACAAGTTACTCATCAACCAAAACTTGTTTTCTAGAATCACCATTCACCAGAGGTCAGCTCTCATTACATTTTGGACTCTTATCTTCCGAGTTAATTTCGCTGTAACTCAACTTCTGATAAGCTATATATATTTAGCCAACAAAATCATTTTATTCATACATAAAGTGAGGCTTCTTATTAGCAGCTTCCATTAAACCAGCTTACAAATCTCTTGTAAGGAAAAAAACTATGATCTCTCTGATGAATATAATATAATATAGCTTTTGCTCATCTCTATACCATTTACATTACTACTATATGAATAAACCCGCTGAATTCAATCAGCAAAAAAAGCCATAGGGGCTGGAAAATTGTATAGGTCATTAAGCTTTGAGAGAATCATCAGTGTTAGGCTCAAGTTCATTGAGTCTTGAAGCTTCTGTATATAAAAAGCTTTTTCTAAGATCCAGTCATGGAATTTGCATCGGAGAGCTCAGATCTTCGCGCGTTTGAGCTGTGAGTGAACAGGGTAGACGTTCTCTGTTTCTAGCTCTCTCTTCTGAATACTCTTTGTGAAAGATAAATCTTCAACTTTCATTAGAGAATCTCTTAATCTTTTTACATCCGAGAGTTTTACTGGCTTCAGTAAGAAATCTTCAGCCCCTTCTTCAAGACATCTGAATGACAAAAAAAAATTCACAAGAAAATCAGTTTTGAGTAAACTCCAATTTCAATAAAGTTGATGATAGCTTTGGATCAATAAGTTTTTCGTTGTGTATGTAGCAAACAATCATAAAATGGCCAGGTCATAATTGAGTTGGCCATTGTGTGGACACAAAACATATTCCTCTAATATTGTATGCAAAGTGAAAAAAGCATGTGAGGTGGCTTTCACAATACCCTACCAAAGATTAGGCAAGCAAGATCATGTAATTTTTTTATTGTAATATCACATCACCAGAAATAGAATCAAATCCCAAAGTAAAGATTTTGCTGCTTATTAGAAACATCTTTATACTCAAAATCATCTTGGGACCCATTAAAGATCACCAAATCTCAACTTTTGATTAATAATGCAATCACCATCAAAACTGGTTTAGAGAAATCAACTCTGAACCATATGAGAAGGATCTTTACTTTGTGATCTAATCCTTTTTTGTTTTATCTAATCCTTTTTTAGATCACCACTACGATCATGAAAATATACCTATCAATACGAGGCAAAATGTTCTCAGATGACATAATCACCACCGGTACTTGTCTAAAAGCTGAGGATTCCTGTGGAAAATAACCAAAAAAGGATTAGATAAACATAATATTCAAACTTAACTCAAAAATTCGATTGACTAATTGAATCAATGGAAATTATATGCTTTTTTTGCTTACTTTGATCTTCTTCAAGAGTTCATATCCAGTCATACCGGGCATTGAGTAATCCGTCATAATTAAGTTAACCTTCAAATCCTGAAAATAAACAAAGCAAAACCACCGTTAACAAATTGCTTGAGAGCTACGGCAAAATTTCATATTCTCTTGGAGATAAGTATTTACCTCAAAACCGACGGATTTTTCCTCAACATCCAATCCAAGGTATTGGAGAGCTCTTGTTGCACTGTCAACAACAGTAACTGAATAACAAAAACAGAGGTTTTCACTCAGATAACTTGTCTAAATTCAAAGATAGATTTGTCAAAAGATGAGTTCTTGAAGATATGATATGATAGTTACCTTTACAAGAAGAGACTCTGAGCAAACGCTCGATGAATTTCCGATCAACGTGACTGTCGTCGACGGCAAGAACATGAAGAGGATCCGGAGATCCAAACTTTGAAGGATCGTTGGGAATCTCCATCTTTCTCGGTAGCAAAACTTCAGCCATTGATCAAAGAATGAGAAATGTTGGAATTAAAAACTGGAGGATTTGGAAAGAAAAAGGAAGAGAAAGATATAATGTGAAACAATGGTGGTGGTTGGGCCATATATATAAGTAGAATGAAAGAAAGAAAAATAAAAGAGGGAAAAAATATGAATGAAATCGAGAGATTTTGCATATCTTTAAGATTTTGTCAATAGCTTTCATAATCTTTATTTTATTTTTCTTTATAAATAATAGTTCGGTGGATTTTTATTTTTAAATAAAGTTAAAACTTAAAACCGACATAAAGTCAAACCAATCGGTTCAAGTTTAGTTAAAATGGAGAACAAACCAGAAATTTGGAATGGACAGGATGCAAGATTCAACCGATATCGTTTTATCCGGTTCGGTATGTGTTTTTTAGCCAGATAAATTGGTTTACGAAAAGTGTGGAAATCATTCAGCAAGTAACCCAATTTCTATTCCAACGTTGTTTATCACATAAGGTTTTTCTTTCTTCTCTTCATCTAACTTGTTTTTGTAAGTATATGACAATTCTGTTCTAACTTGAAGAGTATTAATCTTCTTTGAATTCTCATAACAATGGAAGCAGCTATTAATAAAAGTATCCTAGGTTGTTAGACCTGAGGGCTGCTTGAGATGTTTTTATTTGAAAAAGTTTGGACTGCTTGCGTGACATGTTAATTTTCTATACATGAACCAGAAATTCATGATATTTTTGGACTAACGACCATGATGAAACTTAAGGTACTCGAAGAACTAATAACAACTCAACAAGTAACAGGCCCAATCGTTAAGAATTAAGGTACTCGATGAAACATCACATATAAGCACCTGATAATGATACATGAGGCAAACATAAGAAAGAGCAATACTGTAAGAGCACTATCAAGTTGGGCCACACTAAAGCCCAAAAATATCCAACACCAACTCAAGAAGTAACAGGCCCAACTCAAGATAGGGATGTTCTCATTGTAACCTAAGTTTGGTTTTCACCATAATAAGTAAAGTAAAGTTGTCATAAATTTTCTCGAAATCTACAAATACTTGGTCGTTGTCTTGATGGATTTGCTTCCAATGCGTTTTTGCCTAAAGTTAGAGAAAGTCAAAACGCAAGCTGAATGCCTGAAATCGAATGTTTGCTTTTATGTTAATTTTGAAACATAAAGTATGGTTTTGTTATATGTTGCATAGCCCAATTTCAAAGCATGAAGATTATTTTCCTCAGGGAATGGCTCTGATAGCAAGAGTGTAGCAACCAGGAGCAAACTTCCCTTGTAAAAATTAGCGAGAACGTGCAATCAGCGAATTATACTACGCATACATAAAAATATAAGGAGCCAATATATCTAGAAAACTTTGAGAGCTAACTAAAACCACATATTCTAATCTTACCATCTATAATCTATCAGAGAATAATGATGGGCCACATTAATGGAACGAAGAGAAAAGTGGATCGTTAAAGATTCGGTAAAGAGAGCGACTAATATAACAATTGGTAACCAACTAGCCGGCTGGCTTCTACTTTGTGTCCATATATCACAAGAGATTATGCTGCCAACAATTTTAATATCAATAGCTAGAATCATGAATACAGTTTTTAGATTTAAATAAACCTTTTTTCTTTGTGTTTTCTCTTCATGATACTGATTTGGGTTGAGTATATCAAATTACATAAAATACATGTAGCACATAGATTACACTGCCAACAATCTTAATATCAATAGCTACAATCATGAACATATCCACTAATTATCCCACTTTAATTTCTAAAAACAAATCTTTAATTATACAAATTAGTCGTAGTTGTATTATTGAAATATTAATAATAAAAAAACAAAAATAAATAAATCATTAGCCATCCAGTTTGTTACAAAAAGAAACCATTAAAACTTCTTCTTCTTCTTCCACGCTTCGCTCTCTTCATCATCTCGCTCTCTTTCATATCTTCGATAACTGCTTCCTCGATTTTTCGTCTCTGTTTCTCGCCCAGTTCGCGATCTCTCAATCAGAAAAGATTCTTGCTGAGTTTTTCATTTCTTTGGTAAGTTTCGAGTTGTATTCTTCAACGCCTCTCTGTTTCTTGCTCAATTTTGATACTTGTTTGTTTCTGTAGCAGAATCTTCCTCCTATTTGGTCGCGTTGGTGTTTCTTATAGAAGACGAGTTTGTTTCCAATTTGGTGCATCCGATTATGATGATATCACGCAAAGAGTTCGGATTCATCTGTTTTCTGATTGCTTTTGCTGCGAATTTAGCCATTGAAGGTATCTTGATGCTTTGATTTCATTAGAGATATTGATTTTGATTTGTTTGATGCTTCCTCTAGTAGACATAAGTGTGTTGCAGTATTTGTTCACATAAGTAGTTTGTTTCCAATTATGATTGATATCACAAAAAGAGTTGGGATTATTTCTGATGGTTTTTACTACGAATGTAGCCATTGATGATTTCATGATGCTTTGATTTCATTAGAGATTATTGATTTTTGTTTGTTTGATGCTTCCTCTAGTAGATTTACATAAGTCTGTTGCAGTATTCGTTCACACAAGTAGTTTGTTTCCAGTTATGATTCATATCACAAAAGGAGTTGGATTCATCTAGTAGAAATATATATAAATTTAATTTGTAACATATTGTCGTAAGATATATTATAGTTGTGGCATGTGGGTAATAAGATAACTAATAATGTTTAAAAATATTTTATATCAAAATAAGCAAACAATAAGAAAATTATAAGCAAAACATAAAATTGATGATTATTGTCATATGTTATTTTTTTGGCTAATTGTATTTAGTAAGTTAATGATTTATTGATTATGTGCCACGATTTCTAAATTAATTTCTCTTGTTTTCTGTTTTGTAGTTGTTGAACCAATCTTGACCAATGATTAATTACATATATATATATATATATATAATGTTATATGCTTTATTCGTGTTAGCAATTTGCAAAAGTTTTTATGTTGAAATTGAGAGTTCTACGCTCATAAGAAGTTACTATAAATGGAATTGTCATTTAATTACGACACTTCATCTACCTAGCTCTCCACTGAGCAGCACTTTTGTTCACTTTTGACTCGACGGCAACGAGAGAGGTAACAACATTTGCCATAGTTTCTAAATTTCGAAATTATTTTTGTGTGTTTGTAGTTGAATTGTTGAAACTATCTTGACACAGTCTGGTTATTATATAGAGAGATGTAAAGTCTTTATGTTCATGCATTTTACTTCGACACTTCAATACTTCATCTACGTAGCTCTCCACTAAAGTTCACTTTGAGTTTTTACTTAAGCTCCAAACAAAAAAAGTGATCAAGCAATCACAAAAGAATTAGCAATCCTTACACGTCTTCAATTACTAAAAGTCTAAAACCTATTTAATACCACCTTTTCATTCACCCAAAAACTAACAAATTAATACTAAGGCCCGGCCCATATGATTCGGCCCAGAAGAGACTTAAGTTTTATAATACTTAACGGTTTACTCAGTGAACCGGAGTGAGACAGAGAGATGAGGCCGGAGATAGTTCTGTTCGGCGACTCGATTACGGCGCAGTCGTTTAGCTCCGGCGGTTGGGGATCTGCTCTTGCCGATGCTTACTCTCGCAAAGCTGATGTTGTAGTTCGTGGCTATGGCGGCTACAACACCCGATGGGCTCTCTTCTTGCTTCATCACATTTTCCCTCTCGTCAGTACTCTTTACCTCTCTCTCTCGAGTCTACAAATGTTAATTTGAAATTTGATCTACACACGAGTCCAATTTTGTTCATGATCTGCTGTGATTATGATTATGATTGAGTGTGAATCTGATAGATCTTGAGTTATCTATTGTCTCTTTGCTTAGGGCTCTTCGTCTCCTCCTGTTGCTACGACGATATTCTTCGGTGCAAACGATGCAGCTCTTAAAGGAAGAACCAGTGATAGACAACATGTGCCGGTGGAAGAGTACAAAGATAATGTCAGAAAGATTGTTCAGCATTTGAAGGTTTTGATATTCTTCTTTGATCCTCTCTCACTTGCATTGACTTTTCTTGAAATGTCTTCCTTTAAAAACGAATGACTCTGTTTTGTAGAAATGTTCACCAACAATGCTAATTGTTCTTATAACTCCACCACCAATTGATGAAGCTGGACGACAAAGTTATGCAGTGTAGGCTTTATTTTGATCCCTGTCTTCTTTGTTTTTTTTTTGTTTCTTAAAACATTTAGCTCGATACATTTCTTAAATGAGCCAGTGATTGTGTTACATCAGATCAATCTATGGTGAGAAAGCTATGAAAGAGCCTGAAAGAACAAATGAAACAACGGGAATCTACGCACAACATTGTGTTGCATTAGCTGAGGAACTCGGTCTGCGATGTGTCAACTTATGGTCTAAGATGCAGGAAACCAATAATTGGCAGAAAAAGTACCTAAGGTCTGTATCTAAATCTGATCCCAAAATGTTGTTGGTTTTTCAGAAACACTAATCTCCTCAATCATGTTTGTTGTTTATAAATGGTTCTTGCTCGTTGTTGCTTGCTATAAGCAGTGATGGGCTCCATCTCACGCCTGAAGGCAATGGAGTAGTTTTTGATGAAGTCTCGAGAGTTTTTAGAGAAGCTTGGCTCTCTCCTGAAGAAATGCCATTTGATTTCCCTCATCATTCGCAGATCGACGGTGAAAACCCTTCGAAAGCATTCGAAGAACGTTGCTTGTGAGAACGATCGATCAGTTATCCCCAAATTCATGAATAGTCTTCTTTTGATTTAAATTCATGAGCACGTTTCAATGTTGTGATTTAGAAAACTCTCGATGTGAATAAATATCTAAAAAGTGCATCATCACTAGAGATCTTCTTCAAGAGTAATGAACTTTTATGATGTACTTACTATATGTTCTAATTTGGGATGTAAGGAAATAAATTGAACCAGAGCAATTGGGCCTTAACCAAACTTGCCCAATCTCATTAAGATCTATCAAACCAGTTGGTTATGAACTTATGATCAATGAATATGACCGTACCAACGACCTGAGAGATCAATTAAAAAATTAGACCAGACCGAAAACCTAGCTTTTGTGATAGAGAAAAAGAGACCACGAAGGACAGTTTACGTCAAATATTCCTCAAGTCAACGACTCTGTTTTTTGCTCTCTCTTCTTGATCAGATCCATGGATAACATTTTGAATTCTTTGATCTCATAGTAGCAGCAATGAAAGAAGATTTTGCAATATATCGTGCATCTACATTCATCTGACAATTTTGGAGTCGAAAAATTGAGTTATTCCATAGTTTTTGTAATCAGCTTTGACGTCATATAGAGCTATATAAGTTACCAAAAGTAAATGGGGCACTACGTTTGACAAAAAAAAGAAGAAGTAAATGGGCACTACTTATATATCAAGAAACATTACACCTCAACCACACGAACACACACAAAACGAAATATCTCTCTGAATACCCTAGTCAAGATTACTAATTAAGATTACTCTCGTAATTAACCATCAATTACGAAATTAAAACTGGCTAAGCAAACAAACCCATATATAATTATAATTGCTTCTCTACTACTACTACTACTACTACTAGTTGATGACAACAAGAGAAAAAAGTTCTGATTAACTTATCAAACCAAGGAGTTTGTTTTAGTGGACGATCCATAGCCATTCATCAAACCATTCCACGACGAACCTAAACCATTGATATAACCACCATTGCCGTATCCACCACCGTCAGATTTTCCTACGCCTCCGCTACCACCACCATTTGAGTAGCCTTGATCTTGCTGCCAATCAAGCGATAACAACTTCGTATTTGGCTTCACATCCATTATTGTTGCTACCCTTTGATGATCTTCTTGATGATTATAATGATGATGATCATAATTAGATAGCATAAGTCTTTGGCATGTCGATATATCCATGAGACCACCACCATTTCCATTGCCTCCCGGAGAAATCCCATTAAATCCACCATTGTTGTTGCTGTTATTAAGACCTAACCCGTGATTCAGACCCATGTGATGATTACTATGATGACGATGATCTCCGTTACTTCCATGATCAACCATGACCAGGTTGTCATTGTTCACTCCCATGAGATCAAACTTACTGTCCAAGAAATCAATAGGTCTAGGGCTCTGCGAAAGCAAACCGCCATACTTGCTCTCCAAGAAACCAACGTTACCATGCTCCGGAGTTGAGTAAGAACCCATCATCCCACCAAAATGTGAAAACCCTAGAGGGGAATTTTGGTAGTTTTGGTAATTTTGATGAGAATGTGCTAAAGCCATAAGATCAGTGGTATTGGTGGTAACGATGTTGGATGGTTTTTTGCCGGAAGAAGTGGATGGGGAGGAATTAGAGGAAGATGGTTTCTTGTTTTTACGGCATCCACCACCGACCGGAATATTCCTTAGAGTGCCGCCTTTGGTCCAGTAACGGCGACAAGTCTTGCAGAAGTAACGAGGCTGAGAGAGGCTATAGTTATTGTAGTAACAGAACTTAGTGTGTGTTGACTCGCAACGAGGACACTTTTGAGGATGGTCGTGAGGTGGACGCAGCCTCCTTCCACCGTCCATCAGAGCCGCAGCGGCTACAGCCACGGCCGAGGCTTGTGGTCTAGTGCTGCAAGCAGCTAGTATGTCGGCTGCTGATGGAGAAGTCGTTGAAGAGTCTAACATGCTTCCTCCTGATGACTCAGCTTCCTAACATTACAATTTATAGAACCATATAAAAATGTGGAATTTTCTATACAATCAAAGTTGTATGATAATATGCATCACCATGCACGCCATACAAATTGTTTCAATCCTAATTTTTTGTTTTTGATTTTGCACTTACATGTGACAAACAAATTCAATAAAACAAAAAAAATAAGTGACAAGTCGCATATTTAAAATGGAAATATTTTCATTTCTTAAGTACGTGTTAAACACAAACAGATCTTCCATTCGTTCTTGACATTTTACTTTTTACATTAATTAAGAAAGGAATTTTGTTTGAAATGTTTGAAGTCTTATGTTCATTTTTGGAAAAGAAGAAACACAAATACAAACAATGGAGGTCTAAGTGAACATACCTGGAGCCAATCAGAATCCATGCAAACTTGAAGAGAAGTGAGACCCATTTGGTGTTTTGTTGGTATGTTTGTTTACTTTGGGGGAGAGTGAGAGTTTTTAAGACAAGTTTCTGAACAAAATCTAGAGAGAGAATTGGAGAAGAGAGAAATATGAGATGATGAGGCAAGGAAGAGTTTGGGGGTTGGGATGTGAATAAGAAGGAAGCAAGAAGAGGACCCTTCTTCTCCTCGGGATTGCTGTCTCCACTGAAAGCTACTTACTTCTACTACTTAACTTAACGTATTATTAGTTCACACTTAATTATTTTGTTTTTTACTTTTTTGTTCCAAGTTTATAATTAATTTCGTCAAAAATGGTTATTGTATCTATATGAAATTTAATTATTGATTATGATCGTGGATAACTCTGGTGATCCTTAATTTGAAGCCACATACTTTATAGAAATAAAATTCCTTGATATGAAGACATTATTAATTAATCATTTTTTTTTTGTTAAAGTAATTAATCAATATGTTCTGTTTCCAGTTACAAAGATAAAGATCTTTCAAAATTTTGATTTTTGAAAAGTTAATACGCCTCGCTTTGGTGTGATCATGATCAAAGTTAAAACTTTAATTTCGAGTTATTTTTGGTATTATAAATGTCTACAAGTGTATAAAGATGGACCGTATGTATATACGGTCGGATGTGGCGGAGGAAAAAGAAAGCGTCGGTGGTTCCAAAATCCACATTCTTTGGTGGGTCTACGTCAACTTGACCAATCACTTTATCAATCTAACGGTTAAGATCAAAGCCATGGGACCTAAATGGACAATGCGAGCCGTCGGATGAGTTCAGAAATAGCGGCTTGATCGTCACACAACAGAGACAAAAGTGAGAGAGAATAATATCTTTTTCCAAGTTTTGTCTCTCTGTGTTTTTGAGACTTACGATAAAGAAGGACGAGTTTTGATAACTTAGGTGGGCCTGTTAATGGGCTCCACTCGCTCGCTCCTCTCAAGCAAAGTATCTATTCTCTTGCCACCTGTCACTTTCCTACTTCTACCATGTGGTAATATCATTCAAGTTTTTTTTTTTTGACTTCTTGAATCATTTGTTAATTATTTGAAGAGTTCAACTACTTTTGATGTTTTTCTTATTATTAATTTCCACAGTAAAAGTTAAAGAGTATGATCGATGAAAAAGAAGAACAAGAGACAAAAGTTTGAGGGCTGTCATAGTGTTTTTATCAACTGAAAATTTTAGGTTTTCAATGTGTATATATATATATATATATATATATTGTATTTAAACACACTTCATTTTATTAAGTTCATGAATTTATAGTAAAAAAAGGTTCAATTGTATAGTTATTTTCAACTATAAAAATGTTATTTCATAATATGTATAGTAGTTTTGGTAGACGCAATAATATTTTAACATAACAAAACCGACGATTAGTTAAGCTTATTGTCTTTTTCCAACTAATTCAGTTATGGTAGTACGTATCTATGTTCTTATCATTAGTGAAATCATTTTTATTTGCGTACATGAAATTTATATTAGTGTTTTGTTAATTAGTTGATCTTGTTTTTAGTTTGTGTGTTAGTTAAATCATCATGTTGATTTTGATTGAGTACACATCACACTTGAAACCTAGAAAGATATTCATCGGACGGTAGCATAAGAATAGTCTAAATTTCGGATTGGATTGTAGGATTGGTCATCAAAAAGAGAAAATACTATAGGACTAAATATTTTGATTGAGCTGATAGTGGGATTTTAATGGAAATTCCGCCGGAGGCGTACCTGCCATTATAATGCGACACATGCTATGGACTATATGTAATTAAATATTGAAAAGTGGAGGTCAATTAGGATCTATATAAGACTAGGACTACGCAATATTATAGTTTCTTACTTTTGAATCTGACGTTCGATTTCAATTTTTATTGACGATTAAAGATCACGATTCATCAAAATTTTCATATTAAATTGATTCAATCTATGAGTATTACAATAAAACTTGGTAGTATTACTAGAAATGTTATATTTAATATCAAACCTCAGATTGAAACGAATACAAACCTCATTATACCGATTATACAATACGGTTAAAATGATATTAATACAAATTGTATAATCATCTAATTTTATCATACAATATGAACTAATGATCCGATTTTTTTTTAAAAAAGACTTTAAAGGGAAAGCTTCGTAACTCTATGAGACAAGTGGGAAACTGAAGATTGTAAGGATCTAGGGAGAATACTTCATAGTTGGTTCACATGAATTTTTCAAAAATAGAACTTATAAAAAGAAGAAAGGAAAGAGGAATAAAAGGGCATCGAAAATGGTGTGAGAGAGAATAAAATAAATCACACAAGATAAGCTAACTAGCTAAGCGTGACGAAGACAATTTCTTTGGCACATATATATCTCTATTTAGTGAGACCCACTTTTTAAAGTTAACTAAAGTATATCTGTCCCGCGTATCTTTGTTCCATTGCATCACTCATTATTTGTCATTACCTCATCATAACATAAGTCCAATACTAAAATATTGTAATATATAGAATTTTGGAAAATGAAGTATATGTAAAATGGAGTTTATGTAAGTTTAGAGGAATTCTTAAGGAGTATATGTATATTTGTACAAACTCGAGAACTGAGTACTAAAGGAAGCATATCAGAAAACAGAATGTTTTCAACCACCTAGCAACTTGGTTTTAACGAAACCGAAATAAACCACTACCAAACCAACTGATCAAAGACAATAATTTTCCTTTATCGGGATCACCACTTAACCAGCACATTAATGAACTTAAACCAGGTCTAATTGAGATCACAAACCAACACTAGTATTATATTTACATTTTTTTTGTTGTCTATGTATTCCTTCTTGAATGTTCTCACTTCAACACCATGTAACTAATACGTGTATAATATACGAAAATTTTGATATGTATAGAATATGCTTCAACTCAACCATATATATATACGGATTTTGAATATTTCTACCCTACATTTATCAGTGAAAATATGGAATGGATTACATATGCTTTTATAAAGGTTGAGATACCTATTTTGGTTAAATTTCAAGATGTCAAACCTTATGCTTATCCAACGAAATTTGAAATAATATTCGACAAGAAAAGTATTTTAATAAGTTGTATTATTCCCTTTTAGTATAATTGTAGAACATATTCCTCTATTCTTTTGTGGGTCGTACCTCTATATTTTTAAATCATGAAGTATGGACCTAATTTTTTTTTGTTAATGAATGGACCTAATTGTTTGAAGATATTAAAAATCTATACGGTGGACAATTTATATAGTTAGAATAATAATTTAATAAACTTCGGTTTGAGTATATAACTATATATATATATACGGTTTACAAGTAAAAGTATTCGCCAAATAGAGAAGCATACTGGCCGAAAAAACTCTGCAACTCCATTTAGTTAATAAGCGTTAAGTGTACAACTTAAAAAAATTAAAATATATATTCTTAGCTAAAAGATAACAACTCAAAAACTTCATTTGCAAGTCACAACTGTTCACCGTTGTCTGTTTCTTCTTCGGCATCATCTTCATGTGTTTCAGTTGTTGGCAGAGGCGGTAACAAATCCTTCACAAGCTTTAATATCCCATCTGTGTCCGGTGTCTCTATGATCTACAAGAGAGTCACAAACAACAAATGTTATAAACAAGAAGATGAGAAATAAAATGCAGTGATAGAAATGTTGATGAATTATAAGATAGAAACAACACACAAAAAAAAAAACACAAACCGGTAACAATTCCACAATAGAAGAAGGCCGGAGATTGATGATATTGAGAATCTCAGCTTTGGCGACTTTGAAATCTTTGCACTTGTCTGCGAATTTGGTAACGCTCTCTCGCGTTTGAGTAGAAGCAGCAGTCTCCACCAAATAATCATAGACCTATAAAGATCATTCCAATTAGCAAAAGCACTCTAAGACTAAATCAGAAGAGAAATATTGCAGACAAAAGAACCTTGTATTCTGATCTAGCAATTGGAGCAATAACTCTTGTAGTATCTTTTGATGCACCTCTTGAGTTTAGGAAGTCAAGCACTTCGAAATTGGTAAGTGCTCCTGCATTTGCCTTCACTCTGCAAATACCCAACACCAAATTTTTGACTAGAAAACAGAGAAGGAATCGAACAAAAACATAATGGAAGATGGATTATAAAATAGAACATACATTTTCATCTCTTAGGTTGAGCAGAGAGAGTTTAGCCACCAGAAGCTTTTTCTTCAACTAAACGAAATCGTTTAACAATATGGGAAGAGAACACTAACGATGCTCCAAAATCAGAGGAGTTTTTGCTCCTGAAAATTCAATGGGAACATTAACATCAAGAACCAGATGATTCTTGTTCCCAAAAATCAAGAATTCAATGGGAACATCAACATAAATAACGATTACAAATCAAGATTATAATGAAAAATCGTCACTTTCAGTACTTAGCACACAATGAATCAAAGCTTAATTGAAACCCTTCGATGACTATTCAGGCTATATATTTTTTTTTTGTTCAAACCGTTGCATTCAAATTAAAGCCTCAAAAGAGGAGAATCCATACAAATCGAAATTGAAACATTACAAGAAAAGTAAAGATAAAGGCTTGAAGATCTATCCAATGAGATGCTCAACTCCGAGAAGATTGCATTGACGGGAATATCTCTAGTCAAAGAAACTGAAATCCAGTGTGTCAAATCTACCAGTGGCTGCTTAACAATGTAAGAACCTAATAAACACCAGAATCAAAGAAACTGAAATCCTCGTTTCAAATAACTCAAAATCAATTAAACTGCTTAACAATCATGACTTTTACCTAAAATTTACACAAATCTGCTAAATAACTACCATTTATGTTTCAAATCAATCATGACATACGTGAAACTTCCAACAACATTGGCATAAAGAACATCGCTCATGTGAGTAGCTTCCATTATATGTGATCTTGAAACTAAGCATGAGACCGAACAAACTGCACGAAGAGGATATCTAAATAAAACATTTTAACTGATTATATGCTCTTAAACGTAACCAAGAAAACAAAAACGAAATAGTGTTCACTTAGTTCTTAGTGTTGGTTAAGATTACGTAGACAATTTGTTTGACATTCTACATGTTTCACACAAGCTAAAGATACCATAAACTTAATATGGTGTGGTGCAGGTCTAATCGACCATGTCTAATGCAAAATACAATTAAATCGAGTTTTACCCTAACAACAATAATTCAACCAAAGATAATGAAAACATCCAAAACTAGAACAACATGAAATTGAATCTCACCTAAATCTGAGCTAGAGATAAAGAGAATGAAGACGACGAACCTGAGCTAGAGAGAAACTTGGCCGGATGGTCTTTGCTAAGAGAAGAAGAAGCTTGATTTGGTGATGACAATGGAATTTCTGGGCAAAGAGAAATCAGAGAAATTTTAGAAATTAGAGTAGAACCCATTACTAAACACACAAAAACAGACACGAATCAATCAATTTTGTGAACATCTACCTTTGTGAAGATCTTTGATGGACGATGGAACGATTGTGAAGATCTTTCTCACCTAGATCTATGAAGAAGAAGACTTGGAAACAAAGAGAGAGAGAGAGATCGAAAAGGAATAAATGGAGAAGAAGAAGATCAAGTGAGATTGAAAAGGAAGAGAAATGGAGAAGAAGAAGATGACATGAGATCGAGAGAGAGGAATGGAGAAGCTGCGGGAAGAAGAAAAATGAGATTTTAGGTTTAGGTGTTTTTGTTATTTCAGAGAAAATTAAGGGTAAAATAGTAATTATGAGTTTCAGTCGCAGCGTTTTAAAATCAGTCGCCAAATAAAATAGCCATAAAAAACATTATGTTATTGCTTCTACGGCCCTCTCTAGCTTCGTGGGCTTCAAAGCCCAAATAAATGTCCCAGTAAATATATTATCTATGCCAAACGCTTAGATTGTTTTGTGTTTGGCGTTTGCATTTACACTTTGCAAAACGTATGTTATGTTTAAAAATATAATTCAAAATTTTGTATTTTTAAGAAGAGTCTTGTTAAATTTGAAAATCAATTTTTATATATTGTATGCGGCGTCTCGATGAACGACATATATACCAATAGAAACCTAACTCTTATTTCTTAAGAAGAAAGAATAATTCAGTTTTAAGCAAATAAAAGGAATTAGGACACATGATTCTTGCTTTGGAGAAAAAGAGTACTTGAAACATGTAAGCTAAGCTAACTAACTGCCTTTTTTTAAAACCCCAATTTGGCAAGGCTCCTCTCATTGCCTTTAAAGCTCCTCATGCTTTCCATCCTTTCTTAAATCTCAAATTACATTTACTTATATTTTCGTACACATTTCTACAAATTTTTTTGGTTTGTTATATAAACATCATCTTTTTGTTTTGTTTCAACATTTTTTCTTTCTTTTGTGTGTGTGTTTCTTTCCCTATTTTGCTGTCTTGCAAGAAATGTTGTAAACCCATGACAGGTACCAATCTCTTTCCCTTATTTTGTTTTCATTTGAAATTCTTGAGTTAGTAGATTTTTCTTATGGTTCCATTGGGAAACAAATGTGTTTGTTATACTTTGAGCGTGATTTATTCAATGCATCTTAGAACTAGTTAGTGCGATCCAATTTTCACAAAATAATATACAAAAAGTAACAATAACAATTACGAAAATACCATCATATCTCTTTTTCTCTTATATATCACTGTAACTACGCTAATTTATTGAGTGAGATTGATAGAGACAAATTATTACTGTTTATGTGAAATGTTTAAATCATATATTTTTAATGGTTTTTTAATTCTGTGGTGCATGTTTTTAAGGGTTAAAAAATTGTAATGTTAAAGAAACTTGTGAGTTTGTTCATTAGATAATAAAGACAAAAGATGAAAAATTCTTAGAACTATGTGACTGTGTAGTCGAATTGAAAATGGAATGTAGTAGAAGAAGTAGTAGTAACGTGAAGAGAACAGCAGCTTTGTTGCAAACGCGTTTACTTAGCGGCCAAGACGCGTCGCTGTCGTCTCTTGCACGCTCTTTTGGCTTCGTTTGCGACAGCTGTCTCTATGTCACACATGAATCCTCTTCTTAACCTACGTGACCGACCTGTAGCCTCACCTGTTACATATGACAGTAAAAAAAAAAAACAATTTAGTAGTTTCATTCTTAGCCAATATCTAAAGTATATATATAACTACACTTTTATTTTTATTGCTAAGTAATATAACAACATATAAACATTTCTAATTTTTGGAAACTCATTTTGGTGTTCAAACTAAAGAAAAATTTAGTAAACCATGGTTAATCAGACATTTCCAAGTTGAAATTAAAATTAGGAATATGACAGCGTTTTTCCTTAATGACAAATGTAAGAAAAATCCAGAAAACGAAGAAAAACAAGACTACCGACAGAATTTGTTCCCCCACAACTCACAAGTCTTTTTTTTTCCTTGTCTTTCGCTAATGCTACAATCAATTTGATTTAATTGGGAAAAAGTTTTCTTTAACAAAGCCATGAAAGCCGCTATTTGTTAGATTCTTAAAACAGATGCAAGAGATTTGATTAATTGACTCGATGATGTATGATACACATCTTTGGTGAATGTAATAGTCATTATATATGTCACATTTAAATTATCAATTTCTTATTAAAAGTATATGCGTAAATAGCATTGGCTGTTGTATGACAAGAGACAAAAGTCTTACAACATTAGGCATCAAAATCTTTTGGAATTACCAATAAGCATTTCCCAAGGTTGGTCCACTAGTAATCGTATATTTTGGTTTATATATGTAATTTAAAGATTTTTTTTTCTTGTTTTTGGATTTACCAATAAGCATTCCTGCCTTATGATGGCCCATTAAGGATTTTTGTTAATATATAAATCCTACTTTTTTTTTCCTTATGAATATTTTATCGTATGCAACAAGCCATGCATTATCATCAACAAGAAAATCTAAACAAGTAAAACCCCACCAGAAATGGCTACCGACTTATTTCCCAAGAAAACAAACTTATCCCAAACATAAAATAGAACATTCCGTTTTATTCTCCTAAAGCTTATTGCTAAACATTTTCTTTTTCAACATTATGATTCTTCTGTTTATTTCGCTAAACACTATAGTCTTCACGCTAATTACTCTAGCTTCATTTACTTCAACTGTTCCTCAACGACGTGACCCATTTTCACCAACTTACCGGCCAAGTTTCAAAGACAAAAACAATTGTTCTAAAACATATAGAGGCTAAAATGTACAAATTTCTTGAAAGCATTTAATATCGAAACTCAGAAGAAGGAGAAATTAAAGGACCCTACACTGTGGTCTTTGCATGTAATCTCTGAAACCTCTTTAAAGTCTTTGGTTTCGGTTTTTAATGGGTCCCACTATTTCACGCAGTCTCTGCCTTTGACCAAAAGCAACCTATCATTACATTTTATAATTTACTTATATTAATAGGCCACAACAAAAGGTGTACCTTCATTAATTTCTCATTGTCATTGACACATCAAAAATCTTTCAAAATCCAACGGTTCATAATTTCTTCAGAAAGCTCCCAAATATTTCCTTTGCACATAATTATTTTCTTTTTCACTTTGATTAAACTATTCAACAGATTTATTCCCTTTTTTAATGGTGGAAGGTGGAACCATATATATATAAATTAACTAAACACAAACCATCTATGATTTAATGTGCTCCTCCCCACATGGTATTCACATATGATATACGTAACATGTAGTGAAAGAGAAACGACACATAAACAATGCATACGTCCCAATGTCTGTTTGAGAGTGATTAGCTTTTGTATAGTACTCCTTTTTGGGTATTTGAAAAAAGATTGAGACTCAACACAGAGATGCCTTATATTTTATTTATTTACATCTTTATAGATTCTCTACCCTTATATTATTCAACCATTTATCCACGTAGAATACGTGTATTCATATTCTCATGTATCAATCATCAATGCATCAATTTGAGTATATGCCAAAAAAAAAAGAAAATTAAAATAATTATCTTCCTTTCAAGACATAAATCCTCACCCGATTGCCTCGAATCCATTACTTTTTTTAATGTGGGATTTCAAATTCTTAGTGTAAAAAATTCAGTAGTGAAAATTAGGCCACATTATGAATGCATTGTTTTGAACACCATCACTAATTTATTTATAAATTTGATTACTTATCTCTCTATAAAAATACTTGTCTTTCCTAAAGCAAAGAAGCAAAGAATCGTGTCCTCTTACACATTCACAGGCTTTTTGCATTTTTTTTTTGCAAGTATCATTTCTTTTCTTGGCTTCGAATTCAGCTCCCTCTTCTTCTTCTTTATTCACTTTCTTTCCCCTTTTTCTTTTATTTAAATATTTTTATATTTTTATAAAAAATCTGATCAGATATATATGGTTTTTTCTTCTTTATGTGCAAGAAGAACACATGGTTTAAAGCTTCGAATCTCTCCCTTTGCTTCATCATATATCTAAATCATCCCACTCAAGATTTCAAATTCCCTAAATCTTTGTTTTTATAAATTCTTTCTCATTTATTGTCACATATTATTGAACTCTAATAAACCACACTGTCTTACTCTGTTTTGGCTTCTTCCAACTCTGTTTTTCTTCTTCAAACATTGAACAAAAACTTATCTTTTCTCTCTGAAATACTGAAGCTTTATCAAAATGGCTTCATCGTCTTCATCATTGTTATCTCCATCTTCATATACAGAGTTAAAAGATGCTTGGCATCCATCAACAACAGCGAACACTACAGAATCAAGCTACTGGTTTAATTGGAGGGTTATGATCTGCTGCATATGGATGGCTATAGCGACTGTGATCACAGCTTTTCTTATATTCAAATACGAAGGTTTTCGCCGGAAACGCAGTGAAGGTGGTGACGTCGACGGAGGAGAGAAAGAGTGGTCGGGAAATGTATATGAAGACGAGACATGGAGGCCTTGTCTTCGAAATATTCACCCAGCTTGGCTTCTTGCTTTTAGAGTTGTTGCCTTCTTCGTTCTTCTTGTTATGTTGATTGTTATTGGCCTTGTTGATGGACCTACCATCTTCTTCTACTACACACAGTAAGCTTTCTCTCTTGATACTTTTCTTGAATCGTTAGTGGATGCTTAAAGATTTTGTAGGTTCTTGATAAAGTTTTTTTTTCTTTTAGTTTTGGTTTAGGGTTTTAGAACGCTTTGTGGGTAATTGAAGATTTGCAGGTTCAAACTCATAGATTCAAGAGTGTGACATTCTTGGTTTAGAATAAATTAAAACTTTTCTTGAATTAATTGGGAAATTGAAGATTTTGCAGGTTCACTAGCATAGATACAATCTTGATTAAGAGTCAAAGTGTCACTTTCTTTGTTTAAGAAAAAAAATTGAAACATTATTGAATCGTTTAGTGGGATATTAAAGATTTTTTAGCTTTACCAAGCATGTAGGGGCAAGAATGTGACATTCTGATTATGATATAGGAGAGCAACTGTTCTTGAATCCAATCTTTAGACCAATTTCTCTCTAACTGTCTCTAACGTTTTTTTCCTGGTCTCTGTTGTTTTGATTTGCAGGTGGACATTTGCTCTGATCACTCTCTATTTCGGAGTAATGTTCTGTCTCAAAACCTGATTACTTGGCTTATTAACTTATTTGTGACATTTCTCAAGTTTCTTATATTTTGACCTGATACTCCCTCCGTATTTTAATAAGTGTCGTTTTAGAATTTTTACTTTTTTGAATTGGATGTCGTTTTCAAATTTCTATGCAAAATTTATTACTTTTTAATGTTTTATGACATCATAAAACATTAAAAAGTAAGAAATTTTGCATAGAAATTTGAAAACGACATCTATTTTTTAAAAAAAGAAAATCCTAAAACGACAATTATTAAAATACGGAGGGAGTATCTTTTAACAGTTAGGCTCTCTTCTTTCGCTCCACGGATGTTACCAATACAACAAAAGAGCAGCTGGTGATAGAGTAGATAGCATTGAAGCCATAGACTCAGAGAGAGCAAGATCCAAAGGAGCTGATAATACTATTCAGCAGAGCCAATACTCTAGTAATCCAGCTGGTTTTTGGGGATATGTTTTCCAGATAATCTTTCAGGTAATCAAGATCATAATTAATAATCATGCGGACACGATTATATCTAATTTTTATGAGTTCTTAATAGAAATCGCTTAAAACAGATGAATGCAGGTGCAGTTTTGCTCACTGACTGTGTCTTCTGGTTCATCATTGTTCCTTTCCTTGAGATCCATGATTATAGCCTCAATGTTGTAAGTAATTAAAATAAGCTATATAGAATTTTTGATTCATTATAAAAAAACATTTGATGATCGATTCGTATGATCAAAATATTGCAGCTGGTGATCAACATGCACTCTCTTAACGCGATTTTCTTGCTTGGTGATGCTGCATTGAATTCTCTGGTAATATCTTAGATTCTAACAAATGAAACACATGTTCTTTATAAATTATTTAATTGATTCTTATTTGATTTTTGAATTTTCATCATTACAGAGCTTTCCATGCTTCAGAATTGCTTACTTCTTCTTCTGGACAATAGCTTATGTTATATTCCAATGGGCCCTCCACTCCTTAGTCCATATATGGTACAATCTCATACAAATTCTAGTAATCATTCTTAACTATGATTGCAATCATTCTTAACTTTGACAGTAATCACTCCTTAATGTTTATTAATAGGTGGCCTTACCCATTCCTGGACTTATCATCACACTATGCTCCACTATGGTAACTTCAAAGCTTTATAATGTTTTTTCAGTTTCTCCTATGTTTCAATGGAAATTTAGGGCTGATGGCATTCGAATGATGCGGCATTTGTTACAGGTACTTCTCAGTGGCAGTGATGCATTTGCCATGCTATGGAGCCTTTGCCTTGTTGGTGAAGCTAAAACATCGGCTACTACAAAGATGGTTTCCAGAGTCTTACCAGAGTCCTCGGTAGTAGCTTGCAAAGCAAGCAACCACGTTTGATTGGAAGTTTTTCTAAAGTAGAAAGAATGATTTTTGAAAGATACGGAATGAAAAAAAGGTGTGGAGAAACCAAAACTCATGCTTATAAATATAATTAATTCTTTGCAGTATTTATTTAGCTGTCTTTTTTAAAGGAGAATAAAAGGAAAAAATGTGGATCGAAATTGCATCAAAACCAGAGTTTGGATTGTGCAGAAGTTGAATACGCCTTTGTCTAAAATAGCACTAATTTTATTTGAGCCTGAAAGTGGCCCAAGCCCAAAACATTAGAAATTTATTCAATACTGAGTTTTGCTCAACGTGGATCACAGTCTTCTAGGGCTTTGTTACGTTCCTCTGTTTTTATTCTCTGCCGCTGCCTTTGGTTATTGTTGTGTGGGTACAAAACTCAAGTCTCTTAAACCTACGGTGAGTGTTTTGTTTAAGATATGGACAAGATCAGTGGGTTTTCTGATGATGAATTGCTAGTGAAGATCTTATCGTTTCTTCCAACAAAAGATGCAGTAACAACGAGTATTTTGTCGAAGCAATGGCAGTTTCTTTGGATGCGGGTGCCAAAACTTGAGTACGATGAAATGAGCATTTATTCTACACAATTTTACTTTCGATATTTGTTCTCTGAGGAGATAGGTTACAGCGAAATCTATTCTATAGCGTCGGAAAGATGCCAGAGGATGCGGTGTTTTATTGACAAGAATCTGCCATTACATAGCTCTCCGGTCATGGAGAGCTTGCGTCTCAAGTTTCACAATGCACTATTTCAACCTGAAGATATCAAATTATGGGTTGACATTGTAGTTTCTCGTTGTGTTCAGGAGCTAAGTGTTGATTTTAATCCTTTCAAGGAAAAACCTGATGCATTACTGCCGAGTAGCTTGTATACTTGCAAATCACTTGTGACATTGAAACTAAGAAACAACATTCTCGTGGATGTTCCTCATGTTTTTTCCCTCCCTTCCTTGAAAACTTTGCACCTTGAACGTGTGACATACGCAGATGGAGAATCTCTTCAACGGCTTTTATCTAATTGCTCTGTTTTGGAGGATCTGCTTGTGGAACTATGTACAGGTGACAATGTGAGAAAGTTTGATGTTATCATCCCGTCATTGCTTAGTTTATCCTTTGAGATATCTGCTGGTCATTGTGCTGCTGAAGGGTATAGGATTGATACTCCTTCTTTGAAGTATTTCAAACTTACAGATTTAAGTAAAAGTTTCTCTGGGTTGATTGAGAATATGCCTAAGCTGGAGGAGGCTGATATAACTGCTGGTCACAATATCAAGAAGCTTCTTGAATTTTGCACATCTGTCAAGCGTCTTTCATTGCTCACTATATCTCTTAGATTACTAATTAAACCGTCCTTTGTACAGGCTCTCACTGCTGTATATGGTGATGATATTGTCTTTAATCAGCTTGAGCATCTGAATTTTCGTATCTATGGCGCATATTGGTCCAAGTTACTGTACTGGTTGCTCATAGCTTCTCCCAAACTACGAAACTTGGAGTTCAATGTAAGTTTCTTCGATAGACTATTATTTTTGTTCAAATTCAATGCATCTTACCCTATCATCTAACTCTTCTTCTTTAATCTAGGAAATTTTTTCACGTGATGGTGCTGTGGATACACTGGTTCGCTGGAAACGACTGACTAGTGTTCCTCAATGTTTGTTGTCGAGTCTCCAAACTTTCAAGTGGTCAATTTACAATGTCTCCGTACAAGGGAAAGATCTGGCGACATATATCTTGGAAAAGTCTTGCCAGTTAAAGATTGCAACAATTTCCATTGGACAAGGGTTGAATGATCCACAAAAGAAGCTTGAGATGGAGACGGAGGTGAAATTGTTGTTCCGGGGTTCACCCACATGCAACCTCGTATTCGAATGAGGATTCGAATCATTATGTTTAACAGTGATATATATATATATCTTAACAATCTTGCAAATGACATCTTCGGATTTGCTCTATTAAAGCTTTTGTTACATTTATTTTTAATTGATTTTATGTGTTGCTTAAGTCATTAAATTGTTTTAACAAAAAATTATATATTTAACTATTCAAAAGCAACTTCCTCCATTCCTTGAAAACTTCACAACTTGTTTGGTGTGAAATACTCAAAAACGAATAATCGCTTCGATTGCTTCTATCCTATCGCCCTGTTCTGAAAGATCTGACTACTGAACGAGATGATAATGACAATATGATGAGAGTGTTACTTGTTTCCCTTCCTTAAAATTGTTACCTTGTTTTTAAATTTTTTTTCTGGCAAGGCCTACAAAAGCCGGTAGGTCTTTTATTACACATCTTATTGATCTGTAATGAAGAGGTGATCATTTTCTATTTATCAACTTTAAGTTTTCAATCGCATTATATTACTTGGTACACTAAATCTATATGTTGTCGCGTGTGCAGTATGTGTATCATGTTGTCTTGTCTTAAATCAACATCTGGAGCTATCAGCTATGAATAGTCGACTATTATTGGTTGAAGTTACTTGTCCTGTTTCTCAAAGGTTCTCCTAAACTGCTAATCCTCAGAGTCCTCGGTAGTAGATTGCAACGCAAGCAACCACGTTTGATTGGAAGTTTTTTAAGTAGAAAGAATGATTTTTGAAAGATACAGAATGAAAAAAAGTGTGGAACAACCAGAATGATTTTCTTTGAGATTTATGGCCTCTCGCAGCCCAAACGTGCAAAGATCTGAGCTAAGATCGTAATGCAAATTCCATGACATGAAATTTTAGAAAACCTAATATACTGAAGCTTGGGGGGTTTGTAAGTTTTAAACACTCATTAAACAAAACCTAGTACGTGGTTGAAGTCTTAATGCCACCAAATCAACATAGTGATTCATTCAGAAATTAAACTTGTAAAAAAAGTAAAGAGAAACCCTATGGATGGTCCTTTAAGATGGTTGGAATATGCTTGCACTTTGACTTATCAAGTTCTTTCTTGAGTGCCTTGAGATCTTCATGATAGACCGGACACCGATCCACTCCATCCCCGCATGAGCAGTTTTTGAGGTTTGTCGATTTCTTGAGGCGTCGATTTTCCACGTCTTCGAGAATTAGCTCACGACGTTCCTCTAGAAGGTCCGGTAATATGCCGATGAGACAAAGCACAAACAAACCGATCGCTATAATGGCGCATACCAAATCCGCTGTATCCACCGTCAAAGCCATACTCTTCCTGATTCACAACAAAATTAATTCTAGCTTAAGGGTTTCTCAAATTTATTAGAAAATTATTTCAAGGAACAAAAAAAAACATGAGTTATCTTAGAAACTTGGAGAGGCAGGAAGTTATATATAATTTTTTTATATATAATTAAGATTTGGATGACTTCAAATTTCTTCTGATGTAATACTATTTTGGATTTAGTCTCCTGAATTTGTAAGTTACAATCCTATCCCAACTCTAATTAAACCGACCCCTTGTCAAATAATGAAAGAAGTATAGTAACCGACCCCATAATAACATCACTCATGTACATATTTATAATTTATATTCAAAGGTTTGATTCAATGATGGATTCGTATTAATTGCTTACTATTTTAATGTTCTACTACTCTATTATTCTATTAGATATTGCTTTGCGTGGGATAATAACAAAAATTAGATTTCTTGTAAAAGTCTAATAATAAAACTAAAATTAAAATATCATTAACAAGGAAACGTAGAAGGAAATAATTATTAACTTACGAATTAGCATACAATACAAATTAAATTCTAGCTATTTAAGGTTTCTAAAATTCAGAAAATATTTGAAGGAAACAAAAAAAACCTAAGATACTTGGACATGCAATAAGTTATAAACAGTATATTTAAGATTTAGATGACTTCGAATTCTGCTGATATAATACTGTTTTGGATTAAGTTTTCTGAATTAGATCACAATCCTATTCCCTACTCTCATTAAACAGAACCCTTTCCAAATTACATACACACGATAAACTTAAGGACTAAAATATATTCCACAAAAATTAAGTTGCTCAAAATAAAATAAAATTTAAAACCTCAGTTCATAACCAAAAACAAAAGAAAATCATCTTTGACAAAAAAAAAAAAAAAACAAAAGAAAATCATAAAATGGATGTTTCTTTCAAAATTATTTAGTCAATCTTTTAAGTTGGGAGAACATGGATCGAATACTGTCGCACTTTGATAGACGTATAATATCGGAGAAAGCTCTTATATCTTCATGACAGATGCGGCAACAATGATCATCATCTCCAAGTTCGATGTCATCATCATCATCATCATCTTCTTCATCTTCTTTCCAAAAATACAATGAACATGTATCGACAAGGAGGTATATATATAAAATAGCTGTAACGAAAAGAAAGTAATATGTCACCAGGTCTTCCACTGTCGTCATCTCTTCAATTCACTGGAATATTGGATAACAAAATATATAGTTTCTGTTAAATATAAACGATGATGATATCTAGCTAGGGTTTACCAAAGGAAGGTATTTTTAAAGGCACTCCGAAATTTTATTTGTGCTTCGGTATAAAATTACGCAAAAAATAGCACTAATTTTGTTTGGGCTTGAGAGTGGCCCAAGCCCAAAAAATTAAAAATGTTGTTGGTCGATGAAAAATATCAAAAGCGTCGTGCTCTCTTCAGATAACAACACTGTTTCTTCTTCTTCTTGTTCCACTACTCTGCGCCGCTTTGTCTCTGTCGCAATCTCGTAAGCTTCTTTAGTCTTCTCTTAGTTCTATCAATAATCGTAAATCGTTTCCGTTGTTATTGATCGCTGTGATGTAGAAACCTAAATTTATCGGGAACGATCTTTGAGTTCATTAGTGTCTATGAACAGATTCAATTAAATGACAAAGAATGTTCTCAAGAGTGAGCAATAACAATGTTAGAAGTATCTTTGCAGTTTTTTTGTATGTAAAGTTGAAAACTTTCAGAAAATTATTTGGTTTTAGAAACTGTGGATCAAAAGAACTGCCATGTAAATTTGGTTTTTGTTGATAAGCTGATAATATTGAACAGAATCATATGGAGAAAGACATGGCATTGATGGGAGACAAACTGATACTGAGAGGTTTGAAATTTTACGGTTTCCATGGAGCTATTCCTGAAGAGAAGACGCTTGGCCAGATGTTTATGCTTGATATAGATGCTTGGATGTGTCTCAAAAAGGCCGGTCTATCAGACAACTTAGCTGATTCAATCAGCTATGTCGACATTTACAAGTTAGTTTTTTTTACCAATACGAGAGAATTTGCCCTTTACCCTTTACCAATCCATTTTTATTGTGACCTCATCCAAAAATGGCAAGCTTTGGTTATATAATCTGAAAGTTGCCATCACTATCTGTGTCACTGAGTGATGCATTGATGTTGATATTTCTCTATAACATGGATATGAAATGATTCTCTGAGATTGAAGATTTGCAAAGGTTATGTGGTAGGTTATGTAGTGGCTACACTTTTGCATATGCTGAATATAATCTATGTTTGAAACTGTTATCATAATTAGTTGTGGAATGGAATGGAATGAATAATTTCAGCTTGGCAAAGGAAGTTGTAGAAGGATCATCAAGAAACCTTCTGGAGAGAGTCGCAGGACTTATAGCTTCCAAAACTCTGGAAACATTCCCTCAGGTTACAGCTGTTCGAGTGAAGCTATGGAAGCCACATGTTCCCCTTATTCAAAGCGGTATCGATTATTTAGGGGTCGAGATTTTCAGAAATCGCGCAACTGAGTAACACGAAAAGTATCCCAATTCTGTTGTTGTATTCATGGAAATTTTATTTTTTCATTTCCAAAAGCTTATAACATGTCAAAGATTTTGAAGAATTTTTCTGCTACAAAGTCTTAAATAAGAGATAGATTGGGGAATATTATTATTGTAATTGAGATTCTGTATGGCAACATTTGAAGCCTCTCTTGTTTAATAGAATTTGTGCTCCAATTGTGTTTCTTTCGCAGTTTTTATATGTACGGGGTCCTTTTAATACAAAAATAAACATGAGGACCTCTAATGCAAAAATGTGGAATCATTCTTCAGATGCTAGAAACTTCGAATCATGTTCAGATTCTTTCGAAGAGATAGAGAAAGAAGAACACGTGTTAAGACATTCCATGTTGCAGATATTACAGTCCGCTTTTGCTTTGAACAAAGACGTAAACTTTTCCCTCCTTTTACTTTTGTCTTTGTAAAATTCAATCACTGCAATTACCAAAGGTAAAATTTTTAACGCACAAATCTCTCCTCTCCTCTTTCCATGATTGCTTTTATGTCGATTATGCAATTGGCAAGTTTAGTCATTGAGTTCTCTCATTAGCTTATAGTTGCACACCATGTGTTTGTATAAATGCCTGAGAGAGCTGCTTCTTATAAATTTCGTTCTTTCTATTGTATTTAACTGTTTGGACTTTTGAGATAGTTCTTTGATTTTGTTTAGGATCAAGAATATGACTTTTTGAGGGATTTTGCGGATGATGATGGCGCTTACTCAACTGGTTCCTTCTTCTCCAGACAAGGTTTTCTTTTTCTCCAGCTTCTTCATCCCTTCAATTCCTCTGGAGCTTCGTAGAAGTAACCTAAGTACGAAAACCAGTTCCAAGAAACTCGGAAGTCTGTCTTTGAACATCTCATGTTCAGCTCACAAGATTGTTCGGAGTCCATCTTTAGACAGACATGTAGTGAAGCAGAACAGAGTTCGGTTTGTGCAGAAGTTGAAAACTATACTTCTCTCTAAACCAAAGCATTTCATACCAATTCAAATCCTTTACAAATGCCGATCTTACCTCTGCATCGAAAATCCTCGGGCCATTATCTCCATGATCCGCCGGTATCCTACAATCTTTGAACTTTTTACAACACCTACGCCACATTTGCCTATGAATGCTACTAAGCCGTTATCTCAACTCTGTGTTCGTTTGACATCTGCTGCATCATCCCTTGCAATGCAAGAATTGAATCTGAAATCTGAGTTCTCTGATAAATTAGCTACTAAGCTCCAGAAGCTACTAATGTTGTCATCTCACCGCAGGTTGCTTTTGTCTAAACTGGTTCACATCGCCCCAGATTTTGGCTTCCCTCCTAATTTCAGGTCTCGGCTCTGCAATGACTATCCCGACAAGTTCAAGACTGTGGATACTTCCTACGGAAGAGCACTTGAGCTTGTCTCGTGGGATCCCGAATTGGCGAACCAAATGCCATCTCCTGAAGTTGTTGATAGGGGTTTGATTGTTGATCGTCCTTTGAAGTTCAAGCGTTTGAATCTTCGGAGAGGTTTAAATTTAAAGAGGCGTCACCAAAACTTCTTGATAAAATTTAGAGAATCACCTGATGTGTGTCCTTACAAAATGTCATCTGAAGATCTGGCAAGCGAGTCAATTGAGGCGGAGAAGCGAGCGTGCTCAGTTGTAAGAGAGGTGTTGGGGTTAACGGTTGAGAAAAGGACGTTGATTGATCATTTGACACATTTCAGGAAGGAGTTTGCTTTACCAAACAAGCTAAGAGCATTGATAGTCAGACATCCAGAGCTATTCTATGTGAGTATAAAAGGTACGAGGGACTCTGTGTTTCTCGTTGAAGCATACAACGACAATGGTGATCTTCTAGAGAAAGATGAGACATTGGTGATAAGAGAACGATTGATAGATCTTATTCAAGAAGGAAAGAGAATTAGACGCGAACGGAGAAAAAAAGGCGATAAAAGAGTGGAAGAGTATAGCAATGGTGATAACAGAGATGAAACCATTGATGAATACGAAAGTGATCTGGATGATGAATATGAAGATGGGTTTGAGAATTTGTTTGACTCAGAAGATTCGGGTGTGGAATATCATTTCGACGAAGAAGATGATGACGAGGCACTGGTTAATGGTGGAAGTATAGAGTATTGGAGTAGAAAGCTTTCTTCTTCTGGTAATAACAGTGATGAAGCAAATAGTGCTGTGGAATCATGGTGATGGAAAACGTTAAAAACAAGTACACAAAAAACCCATCAACGTTTTGATATTGTATACTCAGAAAATTGTACGCAATTACAGAATAACATAATGTGTATGTCGTCATCTTATTCCCACTGGCTTTAGAATTTAGAAGTGAATTAAGCATGGTAATCTTTAATGGGCTTACGAAAGAATGAGAAGGAAAAGCCTTTTAACCAAACGAGCCCATTTAAGCTTTGAACTGTCAAAAGTCCCACATCGCTTAAAACAAGAGGAAATGCTGGGTTTATATATTGCTAGAGTCGCTAAGGTGATTGTCCCTTCGGGGACATCCGATAAAATTGGAACGATACAGAGAAGATTAGCATGGCCCCTGCGCAAGGATGACACGCATAAATCGAGAAATGGTCCAAATTTTTTTTGCCAAAATTTTCCAGATCGATTCTTCTTCATCTGTTCTTCTGGGTTTCGATTCGTTTTTTATCCCTGAATCAGAACTCAAGTTTTCGATAGAAACATGCCTATCATCTTTGTTTGATCCTGATGTGGAACATCATTTCGATGAAGAAGATGATGACAAGGCATGTATTAGTGGTGAAAGTGTAGAGCAGTAGAGTATTTGGAGTGGAAAACTTTCTTCTTCTCCTGGTAAGTAACCGTGATGAAACAAAGAGTCTTGTGTAATCATGGTGATAGAAAATGTTACAAGAGTAGAAACACCATCAACGTCTTGATATTTGTATTTTTGAAAAATGGCTCGCAATTACACAAAAACAGTGTTTTCTGTTTGTTATTTTATTCTCATTGACTTTAGAGAAGCAATTTTAGCATACAAAACTGTGCGCGTTCCCTATCTTATTTTCTCAATTGTTGTTCGAGTCTCTCAATGGCTGCGCCAACACCACTCGTGACTTCTCCTTGGTGGCTTCTATCGTCGTTATTGCCTTCGTTTGCTTTCTTCATGAGCTTCAGCTGTAACCACCCTGTAGAATCAATGTGGGTTTCACTTAGTTCTAGCCAACTTTCCAATACTCTATTATTCTCTAAATGGTAATGACTGGTAAGACATGTTTATGCAAGATGCAAAGGAATTACCAAGAGGGAAGCAGACTGTAGCTCCAAGAACTGAACCAAGCAACACATTCCGAGCACGCCAAGCAAGAGACCCCGGCACTGCCACATTTTGATCAGAGATAATGATATGTTAGGACACAGAAAAGTTAACATCCTGAATCTAATAAGCCATACATCCACAAGAGAATGCAGAGAGTGGGATATGTATCAGTACTGATTAGCCCAAAAACTGCAGCAGTAGCTGAACCAGCTCCAACAACATTGAAAACATCATGAACTCCTCGCGTCTCAGCTAAAAAGTTTTGTAGACTGAAGAAAGAGGCAGTAAACATTCCAAGGCGCATCCCTCCAATGAGGGAGCCGCGAGTTACTCGGATGAACCTTTTCTCCATTGCATCTCGCATCAATCTGTGTTGTTCACGCTTATCCTGTGTACTACCCATCTTCAACATCACTTCTGCATCCTTGCTCTGTTTGTTTCAAACAACATACACTGATTCAGCTAAAAGTCTTAAACTTTGATATCTTATGAGTTCAGTCTAGTACCAGAAGTTACTAACATACACCAAGATAGTGGAATCGAAACACAAATCTCAAGGACAAGTAACGAGCTTGAATCTGAAATTGAATGCAGACATACCACAGAAGCAGAAGCTTCTTTGCTGCCTCCATATAGCAATCCTGCAAAGACCCCAACAACAGTTGCTGTTCCCCAGTTGGGATTTCCAGCTAATCTTGAAGAATTCTGTTTCACATAACACAACAAGCAATCAAACCACAAGTAAACTATGAACCACTCACTTTAAAAACCTAATTTTTATCTAGATTCTTAAAATGATAATCATGAAAGAACACATATTTTGAAACCTTTGCTTCTAACAATGATCTTCTCACACGGAAATCGAATATAAAAGCAATTTCAAGTAAGTGATCCCGATTTGAATGATCTTATTCTATGCATTTGAACAATAAAACCCTAACCAGCTTGTAGCAAAGGGGAATCGTGTAGAGAGAACAGAAATCTCACCCCTGGGATTGTTTCTTCGGGTTTTTCTACCGCTTCCATAGATGACAGATCAAACAGTAAACGAGAAAGATGAATTTCCAATCTCCTTCTCCGCCGTAAAATCTTTCTCCTTCAGTCCAACTAAAGGTAGAAGACGACCAGAACGGTTTAATTAATTCATCGGCGAAACAATCTTAACCGATCAGATTTTCTTAAACCGGTTAAATTTGTCATAACCGGTCAATTAGACCAATTTATATTTTCTTCTACGGAACGGCGTCGTGTTATTGTATTCCTTTAAAACGCTTTATTTTAGCCGCCGGGAAAAAAATCTGTGACGAGAGCAGAGAGAGTCGCCATGGACGCAGCACATTGCTATCTCGAAGGAAACGCCGACGCTGTAGAATTTTGTCCTCACGAGCCTTACGCGAACTTGCTTGCAGCTTCTACTTACACACTACAAGAAGGAGATTGTCCTTCTCGATCTGGGTCTGTGTATTTATTTGATGTCGGAGATGTGGAAGATGTTGGCTTGAATCTTATCCAGAAAATTGATACAGCCGGAGTGTTTGATATCCGGTGGAGTCGTGGTGGCGATGGAGGTGGAAACGTGGCGCTTGCTCAAGCTGATGCTGATGGATGCTTGAGAGTTTACAAGATAGATGAGACTGAAGTTAAAGGTACTGACTTTTTGATCTGGTAAGCTCATTAGAGTATTAGAAACTGCGGATTAAAACTTGTTCTTTTGAGCTGCTGATGATTTTAGCAAAACAAAGTCAGATATTTTAATCAAGTCGCTGAGTAATCTATTGAAACAAGATTGGAGCTTTAAGGCAATGGAATTGTGAAATGTGCAGCGTATAAATTGTTGGTTTCTTCTTAAGATGAATCTAAGTTATGTTTTTTTACCTTGTTGGTAATCTGAGTAAAGTTTTCTCCTTTAAACAGGTTGTTCTCTGAAAGAAGTAGCTGGTGAAAAAATCAGCTCATCAATGTGTCTTTGTTTGGATTGGAATCCATCATCAACATCAATCGTAGTTGGTTTATCAGATGGCTCTGCTTCAGTTGTTTCATTCACTGATTCTAATCTAGAAACAGTTCAAGAATGGAAAGGGCATGACTTTGAGCTTTGGACGGCATCATTCGATCTTAACAATCCTAACTTGGTCTATACTGGATCAGATGATTGCAAGTTCAGCTGTTGGGATATCAGAGATAGTCCGGCCGACAATCGTGTTTTTCAGAATTCGAAAGTGCATACAATGGGTGTTTGCTGTATTTCCCCAAATCCAAGTGATCCTTACTGTTTATTCACTGGAAGTTATGATGAAACACTGAGAGTGTGGGACACGAGGTCTGTTTCAAGACCTGTGAACGAAACATCGGTGTCTTTAGGCGGAGGAGTGTGGAGAATCAAGCACCATCCGTCTCTGACCGGTGTTGTTTTGGCTGCTTGTATGCATAACGGTTTTGCTATAGCGAAGGTTAGTGATGGGAAAGGTGAAGTAATGGAGAGTTATAACAAGCACGAATCTCTTGCTTATGGAGCAGATTGGTACAGAGGGAAAGATCAGAAGCGAAGCGTTGTGGCAACTTGCTCGTTTTATGATCGGCTTCTTCGGTTATGGATGCCGAAAACTGATTTGTCCACATGATGTTCCTAAACTAAGAACACAGTTGTTAAGGTAGATTCATCTGTGCTCCGACTTGAATTAGGAAATTTCTTTGAGCTCTGATGTTGAAGGGTCATGTTCCTGTATTTCGTTTTCCATATTGCCCAGAATATTGGAGTTAAGTTTTTTCAAGAACCATCTGATAGGGTTGAAACAACTTGAACCCTATACTTAATGAAAGTGAATTCAATAACATATGTTGAGTTGGAACAATAATACTTATGTCTTTCTCGGAGATTATCAACTATCTTAATAATTAAGTCCAAATTGAAACTCAAATTCAGCAACAGGAAGTCATGAACTCGGAATGGAAATCTCATAGCCATCATCGTCGATGTTCTCCGGAAAAGCCTATAACATCCGAAAAAGAGATTAAGATCCAAAGGAGTAATTAAAAAGAAGTTTTGGCAGAGGATGCGAGAGAAAGAACCTTGAATGAAGGCGAGAAACGGGCTTTGGTGGCTTCATCTTCCCATTCAAGGATTTCTATCCATTTTTTATGTGCCTCTATGACAAGATCACCTCTTGGGACACTCGTGAAATTGAGTGGAAGTTTTCTCAGCTGTGAGCACCCATTAACCAAGATTTTCTGTAAACAGGGAAATGGCAGAGGACCCCGGTGGATGTGTTTTAACATCTTCACATTTTCTAGCCGCAACTCTTTTAGTTCTTGGAATGGAATGAGATTTTGCTGCTCAGCTTTCTCTTTGTTTATTACTTCTTCTAGGTGACTCGCTGACATTACTCGTAGAACCGTAAGATTTGGAGCAAAGAGCAGCCATGTCAAATCCCGCAATCCTTTGCAGAATTCTAAAGACACTTGCGAGAGGTTTGGGAAGGATGGGTAGTGGTTGGGATGTGCAGAGGCAAAACTGTCTCTTTCCTCTCTACCTTGATCTCAGAAATGTCAGAGTGTGCAAGATGAAGCTCTTGAAGACTGTCCATAGTAGCAACAAATGAGATTTCAGATGATTGCGGATTAAGATTCTCGATGCGCAGAGCTCGTGTACAGCTTGCCAACCTTTGGTTGCTAAGGAATTGTTCCAAAATAGAGGCAAGACCTAGAGTTATGGTTAGAGTTTGCAAATTTTCCAAAAGCTGCAACTCGTTCAAAACACAGGGATCTTCGGGGAAACCGGAAACAAATAATCTCAACACTTTCAAACTTGTTAAACCTGATATGCCACAGATACTCTCTACCATCCTTGTGTACTCCAAATTCAGGTATATAAGTTTCCTCAACTCTACTAAACCAGCAGGCCAAAGCCTTATCCTTGTCCGTGATAAGCTCAGATACTGCAATGAGACACATTCTGATATTTCGTCTGGCAAATGTCTGAGATCCTTGTTCATTGATAGATCTAGAACAACTAGCATTGGCATCAACCGAAAGAAGCTGCTTGAGATATGCGCCAAGAAGTTCTTTCGAAGGAGCAAAGTTATAAGTTGAGGAGATTCAGGAGCATCAGGTATACTTTCAATGTAGTTAAACATCAATGACACCCTTCTTGCAACTTTCCACTTCTCGATCTCAGGTATGTTCCTCCACTGTAAACCCGCCTGCACTATAAAGTTTTCTTTTTGCTTTCCAAAATCAGATGCTATCCACAATGCCATTTCTCGAACCACATCATGCATCTTCACCGTTTCTTGATTCTCCTCCATTAATAAACATGAACGAACTAGAATACCGATAATTTCATAACCCTGGTTCTCAGCTCTACCTTTGTTTCTATCTATGAATCCCTCACCTATCCAGTAATCTACCAAATCATCTTTCTCAATGTTATGATCTTCTGGAAACAGAGCACAGTACTGGAAGCACAGTTTGAGCTGTTCACTCTTTAAATTATCATAGCTATACTTTAGAATAGGTAGAATCTCATCTTCCATACCTGAAAACTCAGCTGCAGATGAAGTCAAAACGTCGATTGCTGAACGCCATTCCTGCACCGTCCTTTTATATGCCATTGTTTCACCAATGACGTTGAGGGCCAATGGTAGGCCACGACATTTCTTAGCAACGGTTCTCGCGAGTGTGGGAATTTCAGGGTGGCTCCCTAATGTGATCTCTCCTACTTTCTTAGTAAACAAATCCCATGCATCATCCGGGGCTAAACACCGGACTTCCATATCGCTGTCAACTCCCATCCGTCCGCAGATTTCTTTCAAGCGAGTGGTGAATACTATTTTGCATCCGTTTTCTCTACTCGGAAAGGGAACTCCTACCTCTGTTAAATCCACTTTACTCCATATGTCATCCAATAGCAAGACAAACCTTTTGTGCTTCAACACATTGTAAATGTTAGATGCTTTTATGTCCTCTGTTTTCTGTTTCCACTTCTCGTTATCAGACCGCAACTTCTCCCATATCTCATCTTGGATCCTCTGGATCTGTAATTCTTTCGAGACCACAATCCAAATCACAAAATCAAACTCACCCCCAACTCTAGAGAATCTATTGTTGATATGATTGAGAAGTGTAGTTTTACCCACTCCGCCCATACCATGAAGACCAAGAATCCCAATCTCATCTTCCATTAGACGGTTCCACGCACTCTCAAGCATCGATTCCATAGCAACCATAGGTCTAGTAGGCCTCTCTTCCACTCTAGCTTCATCAACTCTCTCAGCCACCACAGCGAAATCTCCCTGAGATCTAAGAACCTCAACTTCCTCTAGCATCTTCGTTACTCTCTTCCCATAACGGTAACTTGATACAAGATTCTTGGAACAAAACCCGCAAAGACACAACCTTTGGACTTGAACAGATCTCATCAAGACCAGTTCGTTAAGTCGAGGTACTATCTCTTCAACCTTTGAAACCCATCCTTGCACAACAGAAAGTCGTTGTAAACCTCTTCTTTCTTCAGACACAATCTTTCTCAACAAATCTTCTCGTCTTTGCTCAATCTCCTCAAGAGCTCTCTGCAGAGCTGTCAGATTCTCCTCCAAGCCATGAATGTAATCTCCATTCCTGCTTAAGCAACTACAAACATTCTTCGTCAATTGATCACATGATATTGATACAGAGACACAACCTCCCATCCTGCGTTTACACAACACTTGGTTGCAGAGAACTAGAAGAAGAAAAAGGATAAGAGCTGCTGAGTTTATGAAAATTTGACTTCTTCCTCCAAACTCTAAAGTCGTCGCCATCATAATTGACTAATAATATTCGAAAATTTTATCACTACTTTCTCGGAAAAAGAGTATCTTTTGCGTGAAAAAAGCTTTATCTTTTTTTCATTTGCGTTGAAAGAGATAAAAATTGGGATTTGCCAGCAAGATTGGCACGAAACTCGAGCAGAGGACATCTGTAGGAGTTGTCTCGTAGTCTTTCGATAAGAGAAGAAGAAATGGGTTCAATGTTCAGTGGAAACAGGATGAGCAAGGAAGAGATGGAGGTGGTGGTGAACAAGGCTAAAGAGATCGTCTCTGCTTACCCCGTTGTTGTCTTCAGGTTATTTTTCGTTGAAATCTCCCATCTTTTTCATCTGGGTTTTACTCTTTTCTTTCGTGATTATGATGAATTTGTTGGAAAAATCGGATGAATTAGTCAAAAAGTTTGAGTCTTTCCCATCTGGGCTTTGAGTCTGCTTCTATTTGACGCAGAGGCACCATTGGATCATCGAGTGCTTGTTTTGTTGGTGAAATTAGGTCATATGGGTGGAAGTGGAACATCGAGCATCTTATTTTGGTGATTATCATCCAATTCAGAGATGATTAATGGGTTTTACTAGACGATTATGGATGTGATCATGTAGTAGATACTGTTAGATCCAATTCTCAACTTTGGTAGTCTAGAAATCTTTGCAGAAGCTAGAATTTTTGTCGATTTTCATGTGTGTTCTTACTGAAGATTGACCTGTGCAAGCTCCTATGACCAATTTGAGGGGAAAGAATGTACCTTTTGGAATCTTGAAATGAAGTTTAATTTGTTGTTGCTTAGTCTTGAGTTTGATTTTGCTTCATCTGTCTAGAACTTAGATTCATAGCGACATCTTTCTTTCTACTTTTTGAGATGGTCTTAAGGTTACTCTTGAAGTGTAATGTCTTAGATCTGATCCATGTATTATCTATCGCAGCAAGACATACTGTGGTTATTGCCAGAGGGTGAAGCAGTTACTGACACAGCTAGGAGCAACTTTTAAAGTACTTGAGCTCGATGAAATGAGTAAGAAACCAATTCCCTGTCAATACCTGTATATTAGTGTTTCTAGATGTACCTGAATTATCTCGATGCTAAGTTACAATTAATCTCTACTTCAGATGATGGAGGTGAGATCCAATCAGCTTTATCAGAGTGGACTGGACAGAGCACAGTCCCAAACGTCTTCATCAAAGGAAAACACATCGGTGGATGCGATAGTAAGAGAAAAAAACTAGACAAATTCTATGCATAGTAATGGAGATTCAGTTTGCCGGATAAACTAACTGTGTTTTTCGGATTGCTTCTATATTTTGCAGGAGTGATGGAAACCAACAAGCAAGGCAAACTTGTGCCTCTACTTACTGAAGCTGGGGCAATTGCCACTAACTCTTCTCAACTTTGATGAAACTCAAAACTAGTGTGTCGAAAAGACAAAAAGAAGTGAAGAGTGTGTGTTGTGTTTAGATCATGGAAAAAGGAGGTATCGTCACATAACTCAATAAAGAAAGATCCTTCCCGTTGTGTAATACAGAACATCTAAGTTTTCTCTTCATGTTGATGTTTCGGTTAATGGAATAAAACTTGAGTGATCTGTTGTAGTTTCTTGCTCTAAATTACTGAACATTTACGATATTAGCCAAATCGATCAACTGAAAGCTAAAGAGTAACTAATATTCTAACAGTAGAAGTGCATTTGCACTGATTTGTGTAATCCAAATTCGGAGAACCATTGTCTAATGGCAAATGAATAATGTCGATGTGGTTAATCTAGATTTATTACGAAGTATAGTGCAAAACTCGTAATTTAAGAGAACATGTGAGGTCAATCTGTAAATATTATCTTGAGCCGGTGAAAGAAGAGAGAGAGACTGAGGAAACTGAATTTGACCAGTGAGTGTTCAAGCGTCGTAGAAGAAAAGACAAAGTTTTGGTCTTTTGGAATAAGCGGAGCAAAACCTAGACAGGCCCGTGTAAGATGGAGATTTGTTCTAAAGATTTATCAAATCAACAACTCCTAAGCTAAAGCAAGTAAGCGAAGCCATTGCTCTCACAAATTAGCCCAAATACTCAATTTTCACCGAAAGTCTTCGAATTTATTCTCCAGTATCAGTTTCTCTGAGAAAGAGTTCTACTTTTGCCAACTCTGAGGAAATCTTTTGTATCTGTATATCAGTCATGGGTTAATCCGATTAAACCCGTGTTGCTTAGTTAGGGTTTAAGAGAATTGCTGCTTACACCGGTCATGGCTGCAAAACTTGTGTCCTCCTCGGCTTCTACTTTGGTTCCATCCATTTTCTCACCGTTTCAACCTCGGAGTTCCTTTCAGGTGACAATTGCTTATTCAATCTTTCTTATTTTCTGCTCAGCATTTAGAATTTCTTCTATGTTGCATCTTTGTTTCATGCTTCCAATGTATTGCCTCAACAGATATTTCTCCCAATGTGGTCTGAGACATTGAACCAATTTTGTTATATACAAGATTCATTTGAGCTAGCTAGGAAAACTTAGTTGAGACATTGAGAATACTAAAATCAATGTGTTTGCAGTGGACTTAAAGAGACAGTGTTTGCAATTCTAACTTAGATTTAATTGGGACATCATGATGCCTAGAAAAAGTCAGAACTTCATCTGATCAATATGCTTATTAGGTTATGATAAAATGAAATCAAGTGTCTGTTTCATTTGTTGTTGTTGATGTGGTTATTACCTGCTGTTTCTTGGTCTTGAGAAGCCACCATGTTTATGGATATTTGCTGACATTCACCTTTCTCACACTCCAGTTGCGTTCATCAAGGCATCAGCCTACTCATCTCCTTTGTTACCATTCTCGACACCGTAAAACTGATAAAAGTAAGTTCCTTTCTTTACTTGTAGTTTTTTCGCTTTCGGGTATGAGTTCTGGCTTGTGAGTAAGTCTTCTGATTGCATTTCATTTAATATGAACAGTTAGTTCTCTTCACATTTCCTTCAGAGACCGAAATCCAAGAGAAGTCTTCCGAAAGAAAGCTTATTTGCCTCTTGCAACTTCAGAAGAACAGTTCCAGTACACTGACCAAACACTCGAAAATCCTGAAACAACAAGTCCCCAACTTGGCCCCGAAGCTACACCTCGAGATGGTAGTTCAACTATCCAATACAATGGAAATGACGGAAAACCTGGTTTCATTTCGTTTTACAATCCTCGGAATAAAACAGAGGATATCATTGTCCCTCCTGAATCACAAAGTACATGGGGACGCCTGCTCTGGCTCATTGGTCCTGCAGTCTTAGTCTCCTCTTTCATTTTACCTCCAGTTTACTTACGAAGAATAGTTTCAGCAGTTTTTGAAGACTCTTTGCTCACAGGTTCATCTTGCTTCTCCTTTTTTCGATTTACTTCTCACCTTCGGTTCGAAAAATGCGGAGACAAATCCATTGAATCTTTCTTCCTCTATTTGCAGACTTTCTCATCCTGTTCTTCACCGAGGCTCTCTTCTACTGTGGAGTCGCTGCATTTCTTCTGATAATAGACCGCTCAAGAAAAACCGGAAAAGTTCCCCAGAACCGAATCAATCCTTCTCAGTTAGGACAAAGAATCTCCTCTGTAGCAACATTAGTGCTGAGTCTCATGATTCCAATGGTGACAATGGGATTCGTTTGGCCATGGACTGGACCTGCAGCATCAGCTACTCTTGCACCGTACCTCGTTGGTATCGTTGTTCAGTTTGCATTCGAACAGTACTCAAGATACCGTAACTCTCCATCATCTCCTATCATCCCCATCATCTTTCAGGTATGTGATCACTCCTTCAATCAACACCTCTCAAAAGATATTTCACTTTAACACACTTTTGAAGGAACTTTTTTGGTTTTGTAGGTATACAGACTTCATCAGCTGAACAGAGCGGCGCAATTAGTAACAGCATTGTCGTTTACGGTTAAAGGAGCAGAGGCAACAGTTAATAATCTGGCAATCAAGAAATCGCTGGGCACACTTTTGAATGTGATACAGGTTTTAGGTGTGATTTCAATCTGGTCTATATCAAGCTTCCTCATGTGGTTATCATCACCTTCCCAAAACCAGTCTTAATGTATGAAACAGCTTTCTTATTACTATTGCAGAGAAGAGAATAACAGATCTGTCTCAAGTTATTAACTGTTAAAAACTACACCTTTTTATAAATTTACTTAGGGTCCAATTTACACAATTGAAAGAATAAAGACCTGCTTACAATTTGAGGGTTCTAATGAGTAATGAGTAATGAGAGTGAAGAATTGTCAAAAAAGCATTATCTATTTGTGGTAACTGGCTTTTCTTGCTAAAAATAGCAAAGTACATTAACTTATGGGGAATGTATCCTTGTCTGAAAAAAGTCCATAACGTTCTGTTACATGATAATTTCATTTATTTTGACGGTTTGGTTGCGTAAACTTTTATTCCTAAGTCCCAACATTTTAACTTTCTCAAACATCGATCCTTTGTCTCAGAATATTGTCTCCATCAAAGTACCATAAGTAATCTCCACTCAAAACTTCTCCATCAGGCACAAATTAGTGTTTGAAGTTATACAAAAACTTCATACAATATTTGAAATTAATTAGTGTTTCAGAAACCAAAGTAACACAGATTAAAGGACGATAAAATATCCTTAGTAAAGATTTTTTGATAGAAAATTGTATGCCAAGGTAAAAAATCGACTTCAATATCACTGAATAGATATTGAAATAGCGATCTTTTACACACCGAAGGGTCAAAGATGAAAAAGGCACTTTAAAGATCAATATGTGCAAAAGATGGCCGCTCTGCCTACGAAAACGACATGGCATGCGGATGGAAGATTTTTGCACCATTAAATTATATGATAAAATACACGAATATATTCAAAATATTATTTACGTGGATTCATATATATTCTCATATAGAAATAGAATATACCATCTCGTATGAAAAGCTTACTATCTTGACTAAGAAATAGTAAAAAACTGTAACTACTATTAGAATAATGGAACCTCAATAAACTATAGAACACACCAAAAAGAAACAGCATAAATCAAAATATGTATTCTAAAAGATTGTGAGATTAATAGAACAAGATCCAGATCTGTTCTCTAACAACAAGACCAAGTACTATCACCAACGTGTAAACAAGAAACGCATGTTTTATACAGTTAGAGAATAGCTAACACTTAAAAAAGAAAAAGAACGAAGAACATGGAAGAAAAGATCGAATCAGGAGGAGACACAAAGGAGGCTTCTAAAGTTTAGGAGGATATATGCAAAGGAGGTTTGGTTTATATAGAGAGCCTTGGAAATTAGGTCAATGGTGTCGTCGGTCGAAGGAAATATTAATATAAATGGAAACAGACAGAAATTGGAATTAATATAAAAAGGAAATTTTCTAAGAAAAGAAGGAAATCTGTTTGGTCAGTGGGCAGATGACGTCTTCAAGGAAAGTGGGATGTTTAGGGCAGCTGCCCGGTGAATTAAACAATTCAACAATTTGTCTGAACAAGGCAACCTCGTCACTCCCACATGATGTTCCCGGTTCAATTTGGTTTACTAATCTATTTGTACATTTTAGGTTTCGTTTTGGTTTTCTAGATTTGGTTGATTTGGGATTTTTTTTTTTTTTTGAATCTTATTATATATATTGGGTTTTCTTCAAATTTGCTAACATTATTTAACATAAAACTTAAATAAGTGTTAAATTTACAATACGTCAAAAAACATGTTGAACTTATATACCACAAGACTTACGGACTAAAAAAAGGATACTAAGCTCGGTTAGTTTCCGAGGCATTGTAAATTTAACACTTAAGTTTTAAAAAAAATTGTTAACTAAAAAAATTTAGTTAAAAATAAAAACATTTTACTTAAAACATTATTTGTAAAAAAAAATCTTTAAAACTTAAATAAGTGTTAAATTTACAATATGTCGGAAAACATGTAGAAATTATACACCACAAGACTTACGGACTAAAGGACGGGATGCTAAGCTCGGTTAGTTTCCGACATATTGTAAATTTAAAACTTAAGTTTTGAAAACATTTTGTTAATTAAAGAAATTTAGTTAAAAATAAAACATTTTAAATAAAACATTATTTGTAAAAAAACCTTAAGTGTTAAATTTACAATACATCGGAAAACAAGTTGAACTTATACACCACAAGACTTACGGACCAAAAGACGGGATGCTAAGCTCGGTTAGTTTCCAACGTGTTGTAAATTTAACACTTAAGTTTTGAAAACATTTTGTTAATTAAAGAAATTTAGTTAAAAATAAAACATTTTAATTAAAACATTATTTGTAAAAAAACCTTAAGTATTAAATTTACAATACGTCGGAAAACAAGGTGAACTTATACACCACAAGACTTACGGACCAAAGGACGGGATGCTAAGCTCGGTTAGTTTCCAACGTATTGTAAATTTAACACTTAAGTTTTGAAATCATTTTGTTAATTAAAAAAATTTAGTTAAATTAAAAACATTTTACTTAAAACATTATTTGTAAAAAAATCTTAAGTGTTAAATTTACAATACGTCGGAAAACAAGTTGAACTTATACACCATAAGACTTACAGACCAAAGGACGGGATGCTAAGCTCGGTTAGATTCCGACGTATTGTAAATTTAACACTTAAGTTTTGAAAACATTTTGTTAATTACAAAAATTTAGTTAAAAATAAAAACAGTTTATTTAAAATATTATTTGTAAAAAAACCTTAAGTGTTAGATCTACAAATATGTCGAAAAACAAGTTGAACTTATACACCACAAGACTTACGGACCAAAGGACGGGATGCTAAGCCCGGTTAGTTTCCGACGTATTGTAAATTTAACACTTAAGTTTTGAAATTATTTTGTTAATTAAAAAAATAGTTAAATTAAAAATCTTATTTGAAAACTTTTAAATTTAATTTTAAATTCAAAAAAAAATTTAGAAAAATTAAAAAACAGTTTTTTGGGGACAAAAGCAATAATTAGAAACCTAAAATCAAAAAGAAGGAAATTAAGATATGTACCTGTTGCTCGAGAGATCGTTGAAACAGAGAGATTAATCTATCATCCTCTGGCGACGTTTGTCCCAGCCATGGAAACACCAAAACTGCTATTGGCTCGTCGCTTTTCACTGCCCCTCTTTTCATTAACCTCTTCCCGCTCTCGCATCTTTCGCCGCCGTCTTGGTGCTCTCCTTGGCCGATGTTGACAGAATCCATCGGTGTGAAATTAGGGGAAACAAGACCTGAAATCGATATGGATTTGACAGATGATGTAATCAGAACAGAGGATCGATGGAGATCAATCATGAACGAGATTGCTTTCCGCAAAGATCAATCTTACGGACGATAGTTGTTTGTTGCAGAGATCATCGTCGTGGAGCCACCTCTGTAAGAGATTCACAGAGCTTTGTTAGAGAAGAAAACTGCATAATATTTATGCAGACGAGAGAATGAAAGATGGAAGAATTCTTTTGTTTTTGGTGTCGAAGAAGAAGAAGAAGAGAGACAGAGAGAATTTTGATTTCTTAATGAAGAAGAGAGAATGAGTGATGTTGGACATTAGGGTTCAGGTATGTATTTATAAGCAAACGTTCTTCAAATTAAAAAAAGGAAATTTGATTGTTTCCTTTTTTCGACACGTTTAGTTATTTCCTTTTTCTTTCCGACGAGTTTTGTAATTTCCTTTTTTTCGACGAGGTTAATAAGTTTGTTTCCATTATTTATGTTTGGGCTTTGAAAATTAAAATTGATCACAGCATTATTTATGTTTTGGTTAAAACCAGCCTAATCATATCTAATGGTAATGGATTCATCCTCAAGTTTGCATTCCAAACCAACCTTAAGTTCTCGTCTTTATAACTTGTGGACCAAGAAAACACAATTTGTATGATACAACAAATTTATAAGGCCCATTTAGCTGGCGGAAAAAAATAAAATAGGCCCATTTAGCATGATCTCTCCCAAGTCGCAAGTCTACTATTGGGTTAAGCATTAATTAGGCCCAGGCCTAAATTCAGGCTAGAAAGATTTGTCTCCTTCAAAGAAAGGACTTCAAGTTTTGAGAATGTAATTTCATTGTTTCACGTCGTGCGTTTAAAAAAAAATTGATTAACAGAAATATTATTTTCGTGTTGATTATCAGAAGAACCAAAACATCGTAAATCTAAAATGAAAATAGTAATTTTCTTTTAAATTTTGTGGTCTTGTGGAAGTTGTGTTTAAATTCAACTCGTTATTTGACTATGTTAAATAGAAAATCAATTGCCATTTTATTATATATAAAAAAATTAATAGTAATTGCTCCGAAACGACGACGTTTAGAGGGTGTTGGTATTAAAAAACCTTTGATTAAACCGCTTGCCTGAAATCTCCTCTCCTATCTCTTCCATTCCAATCTCCTCTCCTCTCTATCTATCCGCTTGCCCCTTTCTTCTTCCCTCTAAAATTCCAATCTTTCTCGTTGCTTTTTTGATTCAAAGCTTCAAGATTTTCAATAGGGTTCTTGCCCTTCTGCTTATTTGACAAATTCTGTTCCTTTCTTTCGTATTCTCACGGACGAACAAACCCCAAGACAACGAGCTCATGATTGAGGTCGGTTCTTCTGCTCCTTTCCCACTCAATTTCTACGCAACTGTAGTCTTATTTGAAATCTCTTCTAGGGATTTGGGGTACTTTTGTTACGGGAACAAAACCCACGATTTTCCAGGTTTCTTATGGTTGCGCTTTAGATTTTATAGTTTACTGTAATTTTATCTGATTTGGGGAATTAGTTGTTGGAGAAGAGTGTTTTTTTTTGTTGTTGTTGTGATTTGTGAGTTTGAGCTCATCTCTTAGTTTGGAATTTGCTCAGCTTCGTTCCTGTGTAGTAATTTTGTTGTGATTTGTGAATTGCATTTTAGTGTTGTATGGTCGCTACTTGTGATTTGATCATTTTTGGAGGTTACAATCCTTTCTTCGGCCTCAAATTCAACTATCTTTCTGGATGGGTTTTTGGACTTGATATTGTGGCAAGGTTGTTTGCCTATGATTTTCATATTGTTGCTACATATGCGATAGTCAGTTGGATAATTGAGGCTTAGATAGCCATTTGTAATCTGGCAATAGCTATTCGAGTTTATACTTTACAGTCCCGCTGTTATTGAGTAGCTAAAGTTGATTTTGTTTAAATGATGGACAGATTGTGGCCTTTGAGTAAATGATTCACTGCTCAGCTAGGGACAATGGTGTTGGT